CATGGCTAACATTTAATCAATGCTAGCCCTGTTAGCCATGTTTGCAACTAACATGGCTAACATTTAATCAATGCTAGCCCTGTTAGCCATGTTTGCAACTAACATGGCTAACATTTAATCCATATTAGTATTGTTAGCTGTATTAGCCACTAACAGAACTAACATTTTATCAATGGTAGCTGTGTTAGCAACAGCTCTTAGCATTAGCATAAAAATTAAACTTTTATTTGGCCTGTTTGGCTGATATAAAAGACATTGGGTCATCTATGGCTGAGTGGTTAGAGCAGTTGTCCTCCAATGGAAGAGTTGGGGGTTCGGTTCCAACAGCAGTCACATGCCGAAGTGTCTCTGGGCAAGACACTAAACCCCTCATTACCTCCGCTGTGTGTCCCATCGGTGAATGAATGTGATAAAGCACTCCATCCATCCATTCATTCTCTTCCGCTTATCCGGGGTCGGGTCGCCGGGGTAGCAGCCTAAGTAGGGAGGCCCAGACTTTCCTCTCCCCAGCCACTTGGGCCAGCTCCTCCAGGGGAATCCCAAGGCGTTCCCAGGCCAGCCGAGGAAACATAGTCCCTCCAGCTTGTCCTGGGTCTTCCTCTGGGTCTCCTCCCGGTGAGACGTGCCCGGAACACCTCGCCAGGGAGGCGTCCAGGAGGCATCCTAACCAGATGCTGAGCCACCTCAACTGGCTCCTGTCAATGTGGAGAAGCAGCGGCTCTACTCTGAGTCCCTCCCGGATGACCGAGCTTCTCACCCTATCTCTAAGGGAGAGCCCAGACACCCTGCGGAGAAAACTCATTTCGGCCGCTTGTATCCGAAATCTCGTTCTTTCAGTCACAACCCAAAGCTCATGACCATAGATGAGTGATAAAGCACTGATTAATCTTTGTAAAGATAGAGTGCTGTTTAATGGGTAAATGAGGGCACTGATTGTAGTGTAAAGCACTTTGAGTGTCTCAATAAGATAGAAAGGTGCTACATAAGTACATTCCATTAACCATTCTACTTACATTGGACATATTTTTTATCTGTCTTTTAACCTAGAGCCATCATAATGTCAATATTTCTGCTTGTGGCATGAACGTAAACAGAAACCCTTTGTTGGTTTTTTACTAGTACCAGCGTATTCCCTTAGTAATTACACAGAGGAAGTCCCAGTGCTTGACCCAAAAGTGCTATATCGCATAATCAGGCTTTTTTTTTTCCCTCAAAGTTCGGATAGTTTGTTCAGCAAACTTTGGGCTCATGTCTAAATAATCACTTCTTACTGATAAGTAACATTAAATCACCACGAGCCAAGCACTGCTTCTTCTCTAACTCTGCCCTTTTTTATCTTCTCATTGTGAAGCCTGATCGTACATGGTTTTGCTCGCAGGTCCTGCATTTCAAACCAAATGTTCTGTTCTTCGGTACTTTGATTTATTTTGTATTCTCCCGTAGATTACGAGTATCTGCACAAATCAAACGGCTCCGTCTTCCTCCACAACGTAGCCAAAAATGAAGTATCTGAATTCCTGAACCACAATAATATGGTAAGGCATCTTTTAAGGATATCAGCATAAATAAATTCATCCAATCTGTTCAAACAAGTGCAGTGCAAAACTGTCTCTCTCTCTTGTTCTGTTTACAACAGACTGCAAAAGACACTTATGATTACCAGCTGTCTGCTGACCGCAAATATGTTGCATTCATGAGCAACTACACTAAGGTACGTTGAACGTTTAAGCAAACATTTTGCGTCCAAATCATTTTACAATCTCCTAAACTGCTTTAGTTTTTGTCCTACTAAGCTCTGGAGACATTCATTTACGGCTTCATATTCACTGTATGACCGAACGTTAAAGTAAGCCAATCATTTTCTAAGATTTCTAAATGTGCTCCAGTTGTAGTACCTTTTTTCTAAAACCTGGAAGGAATGTTCATTCCAGAGTTTTTTGTCTTTCAGCAAATTTGTTACTGCTGGCATTCCTGATGATGTCCAGTACTTTGCCTGGGCCCCTGAAGGGAATAAACTGGTAAGCCTGCAGCAGACAAATTAGTGCCTTTAAGTGGATTAACAAACCCAACTTTTCCCAAACACTTGCTCAGTAGGATCTGACCAAAAGTGCATGGTATTTTCATACACTTTAAGCTCCTTGTTCATTTGTATATCCAGGCCTACGTTTGGGAGAATAACGTGTATATAAAAACAAGTCCAGAGTCACCACCGCAGCAAGTCACTTCCATCAGAGAGACTGATATTATTTTAAATGGGATCCCTGACTGGGTGTATGAGGGTAAGTAGATCATGCCGTGCAGAATTCACTCATAAAGCACATTTACATACAGTTTAGGCCAGAGAGGAATCCCTAGTTGGGACTGCAGATTTCCCCGTCTTGCAATCTGGTTTGTGATCTTGAGTTAAAAAAGTTTTTTGTACCTCAAGAATGTTGTCATGTTTTTTTTTTCCTGGCATTAAGATGCGATGCCTTCCAAATGTCACACAACCTCTTGTCTTTAAATGTCAGCTAACTGGTAAAAAAATGGTAGTAATCTAAAAGCATAGGTATTTTGCTAATATTATTGTCCAAACTGTAGGTTGTACCTCTCCAACTGATTAACGTTTGGAATCAACCCAACTCAAGATGGCAGCCATAGCCAACTGGCCTTTGGAAACACAGAAAAGGTCCAACTTTTTGTGTTGCTGCCATGAAATTCATAATTACCATTTTATACGCCTGTCAAAACGCGAACGCGTATTGTCTCCATACATCCATAAACCTTCTTTTGCCCCACCCATAACTTTTGAACCGCTCAAGATAATTGAGCAACACTTCATACCATAAGCATCATCCCTAGATGAAGTGTCGTATATCCTTTTAATCACCTTGGCTCCAAGGTTAGGGTCACAAATCAAGGTCAAAGGGTATACGAGGTCTTTGCTTGTCCTGGCCATTGCTATCGACTGCTGTAAAATAGTTTGTCGAGGAGCGTATAATGTACTGTATACAGTACACTTGTTTGTTAAATGGTACAATATTTTAGTTTAGCATTTGATACGTTTACTACTACAATACTGCTACTAATATGACTGTTCCATTGTAAATAAAATATGGGTGTATAAGATTTTCTTATCATTGCGTTCTGTTTTTATTTCTATTTTTACACAGCTTTTTCAGAATTAGGGTTGTACATTGCAAACTGTTTTTATTCTTTCCAGAGGAGATGTTTTCATCCAACCAAGGCCTTTGGTGGTCACCCGGGGGGAAGTATGTGGCCTACGCCGAGTTCAATGACACTGAGGTGCACACTATAGAGTACACCTGGTACGGCGAGAACCAGTACCCCATCACTGTTTCCATTCCATACCCTAAGGTGGACCATTCAAACACTGCTTTGCTACGTAGCTGAAATTCTCTGGTTTATCTTTTATTTATTTATGTTTCATCTCGTTTCAGGCAGGAACTCCCAACCCTGTTGTGAAACTGTTTGTTGTGGACACGGATAACACCACAAAAATCACTGAAGTTGTTGTTCCAGCCCTATTCAGCTCAGTGTAAGGCATCGGTGTCTATTGTGTCATTCCCTTAAAGAAGATCAGAGGCAAGCAGGGTTTTATTGAAATTCTTTTTTCCACCCTCAGTGACCACTACTTGGCCTCTGTGACCTGGGTGACTGATGATCGTTTGGCTGTCCAGTGGTTAAAGCGAGTACAAAACCACCTTATCCTTCAGATTTACAACTGGAATGGATCTACCAGTAGTTGGGATCCTGTTGAGGTAAATCATGAAAAAATTAGTCATATAGTCCTTGTCTATCAAAAGTATTTACCCCGTTGGATGGTTTATGCTTTTTATTTGGTATTATAAATCAGTTGTGGTCAATATAAATTGGTCTTTCTGACAAAAAAAAAAAAACTTCATTGATAAAGGGAAATCAAATTTGTACCAAGTAATGACAATTAAATACTAAAATGTAATGTCAAATAAGTGACAGCCTATTTAATGAAGTAAAAGTACAAGTCAGATTATGGCCCTAAACATCCCCAGGATTTCTGTTAAAGTAAGATGTCTTCATTTACTGAGTTTTGTGCCAATAGAGTGCTATTTTTATTAATCAAAAGCAAGCAACAGCTATGTCTCTACACCTGCACTATAAAAAATGTGAGTCTTCATTTGTTAGTGGACAGCTCCTCTTCTGCGTCACTTTCTGGTGTTGAGCTGTCTTGTTTTCTCTTTAGCGACACCTACAGTTCAGGAGGAGAACTGCAGCAGCACTGGTGGAAACAGCAACAAACACCAAAAGTGTGCTTAAAGAAATCTGAATCAACTAATATTCCCCCCCCCAAAAAAGGTTTACTTATTCTTTATAGGATAGAAAATACATTTTGCAAAGTTACCGATAAAGTATTAAACACATCTGCAGATGGTAGGTTTTTTTATTTATTTATTTATTTTACCACAATCCTTTTCTTGTGGGTCAGCTTTTATGATAGTGTTTTGCAATTTTGAACAAGAACTGCTTGTGAGCATTTTTTAATTATGCAGTAAATAATTAGTTTCAGTAACTGACGTATATTACATTAAAACTGTTGTTAATTTAAACTAGTATGGCATCTCATTGTATCAAAATTATAGGCTGACGTGTATCACATTTTTTTTAAGTTTTTGCTGCCCATTTGTCTTTAATGAATCAAAGTTGTGGCACTGTATTTAGATACAAACAGTATCGGCCACAAAACGGGGATGTACAACAACACTAGAGTCTGTATTGGCCCAACAAAATGTTAAAATACCCATGCTGCACCACTAGGTGGCGAGAACATCCATATTAACGACATATTAAAATATGGAGAAATTACTTTCCTAGCTTGGCTGAACATTTTTTGCACAACTTGTTTTTCTTTGCACCTATTATTCTACACCTCGGAAGTGAGTCTACATTTCCATCTCCGTTAATGCGGCCCAAACCACAACGTCTACCCCCACAAAAGTTATATCAAAACAACCGGCTCAGCCTCGTGATGTGTGCCATTACTTTTATTGGCAATGGGAGTTACCATGGCGACGTATTTTGCTATCAAAGACACAATATTTCACCAACTCCAGGAACTAGTTGGTGACTGCCCACTTATTATTCTACACCTAATAAGCGTATCTTTTTCCACTTTAATGCGACCCGAACCCCAATGTGGACCTCCACAAAATTTATATGAAAACGACCGGCCCGGCTCCGAGATGTGTGCTATTACTTTTATTGGCAATTGGAGTTACCATGGCGACGTATATTGCTAACAAAGATGTCAAATTTCCTATAAGAAATGAATAGAAGAAAAGTTTTCAAAGAAACTGAGTAACGTATGGAGCCATTTTGGTTCAACATGCAAGGAAGGCACCTATTATTACCTATTATCACCCATTATTATTAATAATTAGTAAAAATAATAATTAACATAAATTATTAATTATAAATATGAATATTAATAATTATTCAATTCATATTTAATATTAATTATTAATATCAATAATAATTAATAATTATGTGATTATATAATAATATTATTAATATTTATAATTACTAGGTAGTATTAATTATTAATATTATTAACTATTAATGTTAATATTTATTATTATTAATAATTTCATAATAAATAGGCAGTCCCCATCAAAGTTTCTTCTGGAACTTTCTAGTATATTGTTTACAGTTTTGCTGTTATTAACCCTTTCAGCACTCGATCAAAGTTTGATGGTGACGGGATCAGGATGAAGTGGGACGGACTTTAAAAATGAGGGAAACGGCTCCGTTATTGTTTCTGTTTCTAAGGCAAAATTGTTTTCCAAAATCTCCATGTCTCAAGTCTGAAAATATTTTTTTATTTAGTTAGTTAGGGATTTGTTTATTTACCGTGACTTGCGGACTATTGAGCGCACCCAGATACAAGCTGTGCTCACTAAATTTAAAATGTATAAATAATTTTGTACTTGTATAGGTCGCACTTGTCTATAAGCCACAGGTGTCCATGTTACGAGATATTTTCACAGAAAGATTTTTTAAAACTTTTAATTAAATACCTACCGGAACCACGACTTATAAAATAAAAAAAAAGCGAAACAAAAAGAAAGCCTACCAGGAAGTCATTGATTGCCAACTTCGACAAAAATCCCGCCCCCTCCCCACTGTGACCCGTTTGGTAATTTCATTCTAAAAACCTTTATTTATACAGGTAGTGTCATTGAGTCACGAGGACCAAGAGAGACGTGTATTGGACAGCTCTGTGTGACGAAGCTAAATGTTTTTAGTGGCATGAAGCTCATTAGCCCGTTAAAAAAAAAAAAAATCATAAATTAGCCGCAGCATTGTATAAGCCTCGGCGTTCAAAGCTTGTGAAAAAAGTAGCAGCTTATAGTCTGGAAATTATGGTATTTATGCTTTTAAGTACATTTTCATCCAAGAATAATCTATTTTTTAAACAGATCGCTTGTAATGGGAGAACCAAACCAGTGTATTTTCCATTACCAAAGGTGGCACATGTACCCTTATCCCCTGTGATATCAGCTGTGGATGGACTTTTAAAACACATTTTGCAAATAGCTCTTATCAAGATGGCCGGTGCGTAATGAGAGGAACAGATGTCTGGCCAACTCCCAAGAACTGCATGTTGGCGTCATATCTTAAACGCCGATCTTGTCCGTGCTGCTGCAGAGTACACAAGCCCAACAATGTGCTGTTCGTGGAAACGTCACCGTGATTCTAGTGACGAGAACCAGCAGGCTGGTCATTTAGAAACTTAGTACATTTTTTAATATTTTTAATCCCACGTTTTATTTCTTCAACAGAAACTGGACGTGACGAGTTCTGGCTGGATTGGACGGGTATGTTCAACAAATCATACACATAATCTCAAGACTTGATAAATGGTCGTACGGTACAGTGATGTCAGAGATTTAAAGCCTGACGAACTGATTTATTCCATCGTTTACCTCTATTCCTCCTACTTGAGTTAAAATGTTGAATATTAGCTGTAAACACACCAAATTATGAATTACATAATCAAAAGGTGTAAAGAACCCGTAGATCTTGTTTGTAGTTTTCCCCATCAGAGCCAGTGTTTGCTGTGGACAAGAGAAGCTACTACCTGATCATGAGCGACAGCAGCAGATACAAGCACATCCATCACGTGGTTCAGGTGGGTAGAAAAATTATCACCTGCTGCTATGAAATATGGGCGACCATGTAATTGCCTGTGTTCATTTGTCTGTGTTAGCAAAGAAAAAAAAAATCTCATGTCCCTTGACGTATTTTAACGAAACTCAGAAATTAACTAGAGAAATTGAATGTGTGAATGCTTATTAGTGAAGAACTTGCTAAAAAAAACAACAGCTGCAATTAGCAAGGAAAAATGTGCTGAAATGGAAGAGCAAGCCTAAAGTCAGCAGAAGGAAGCAAAGAGAACACATATTTGCTGAATTAAGTTTAAATAAGCAGAAATGAGCACAAAAAATTAGGAAATTGGCTAAAAAAATTGAATTTAGCAACAAAAAAATAGCTGAAAAGTAACTGAAAAGGCTCAAAGAAGCTTAAACTACTAGAAGGAAGTGGAAGGAGCTGAAATAAATGAAAACATGTTCAATTAGCTGAAAAAGCTAAATTTAGCACTAAGCAGCTAAATAGTAGCTGAAATAGTAGAAAATGGTGAAACTAGCAGGAAAAAAAGCTGAAAGGAACATAAGCTGTTAGCAGAAAGAAGTTAATTAGGCTGAAAGTAGCAGATATTACCATGGAAAACTTGAATGTACCTGAAAATAGCTAAAAAGTGCAAAAAAATGGAGCTGAAAAGGTAAGACAAGCTTAAATTAGAAGAAGTAGAAAAAATATGTTTGCTAAAAGATGCTGAAATAAGCAAAAAACAGCTGAAAAGTACCTAAAAAGGCAGAAAGAAACTTCAATTACCAGAAGGAGCACGATTTTGCTGAATTAAGCTGTAAAAAAGTTGAAATGCGTGCAACAAATGTGAAATTAGCCAAAAGAGCTAAAATTAGCATAAAAACAGCTAAATAGTAGCTGAAATAGCAGAAAAAAAATGAAACTTGCATAAAAAATTTGAAAGGAGCATAATAGTGAAATTAGTAGAAGCACAGAACTGTTCAATCGTTGAACTATTGGAGTCTACTCGATTCAAGATGGCCGCCACAGCTGATTAAGTAGCAAACACAAAACTGGTTCTAACTCAGTCAGTTTTACAGATATTTAGCTAAGATTAGTTGTGATAGTAGCCGAGAGTCATCCCCAACACACATTTTGAGTGCCAACAGGTTACCTTGCACTTTGGCTAAAAAAAGCAAACAAACTTTAGTATCAACTGTCTGTTAGCAAAATGTCTTGTGAACCACAGGGCAGATTTTAATGACACTCTCAGGAAGTAATGACTGGACATACATCTTGAACTCTTAACATTTGGAGACGATCAGATTCAAGATGGCCACCGCATTAAATAGAGATTAAAAAAAAACACAGAAATGGCTTGTCTTGTCACTTTTACACGTATTGAGCTAAACTTTGGTGTGGCTCTAGCTGAGAGTGATTTCAAATACATATTTTGAGGGCTAACTGATACAAACATATCTAACCTTTAAAAATCACATTTTTTGGGTCTTGGTCATCGTCCTTTGTGAACAGTCTCAGACGTACTGCCCCGCTCACACATGTGTTTCTGATTTCTTCAAACAGGGAGTTGCTACACCCATCACCAGGGGATCCTGGGAAGTAATTGATATCCTGAAAGTCACTGCAGAGAGTGTGTAAGTTTTGTGTTAGTTGAACCGGACACAACAGTGCGTGTTGATCATTGTCACAGTCGACATTCAGTTTTTGAATTTTATACAAAAACGTCTCAATGTTCTTCATTCAAAACCCTCAAAATTCACATTTTTTTGCCTGAAAAAAGTTCCTAGTTTGCTTCTTTTTTTTAAAAAAATAGGTTGTGTGGAGTACTTTTGAGTAGTCAGTATTTTACCTGCACAGACGAGCGTTAGCGCAGTATCCGTTTAGAAAACCAAGTAGGTTACTTGGAATATAGCGATATAAAAGTACATTGTTGTCATTTAAACAAGTCAAGCTCACAAATCTTAGAGTTCGAAACAAACATGTTGCGCATACATGGAAAAATACACAACGTCATACAAATTAAATTCCTTCTTTGCTAATGTATACTAATGTATATCAATCACTTCTTAAGGTATTATTCAAGTAACGAAAACGACAACAAACCAGGAGGAAGGAACATTTACAAGTAAGGAACTGTTTAACTGCTTCATGTCACACTTTTATAAATAAAAACTGAATCAGACTTACAGTTTGTGTTTTTGTACACCAGGTGGACCAACGATGACATCAGCTGTCTAACTTGCTCTTTTCATTCAGACTGTGAATATAACTCCGCTTACTTCAGCCACAATGCCTCCTACTACCATTTGAGCTGCAGTGGTCAGTTATACATTTAACTTCTGCAAAAATAAGGTTTCTTTCTGTATTGTTTATGTTTTTATATATAATACAGTACTTTTTTTTTCCCTTTAGGTCCAGACATTCCCAAGTATTTTCTAATGGATACCAGAAGCAATACACGTGAGCTACTGTATCTTTAAAGGAACTCTTCGCAAAGTATGAAATCGAACATAATGGGGGTTATGATCTATATATTAAATGGAGCAGCTTAAAAGAGTTTACTCAAATAGATTTCTAAAAATATGGGAACCAGTTGTGAAATGTGGGTATGCATTCAATGTAAACAAAGGGCTTGGCTGAATCTGCTTGATTTAAAGCCCACGTCAGGTTGGCCATCGTCTGCGTAGGTAAACAAATATGGCCGCTAAGTTTTACCATTGGACCATTTTTCAGTCCCTTGGGCTGTTTTCGTAGTTGGCATCCAGCCAAATATTTAGCTAACAAGTTTTTAAATTAAGAACACATTAATCGTCACAAAAGAGAAAAATGTGCAGATACATTATAAACTTTTTTTTTTCTTTTGTTCCAGCTTCAAGACTTTGCAACGAGCACCTTTAAATTACACCGAGATTATATGAAGGGGGCGGGGCTAAAATAGTTTTGTTTACATTTACGTTTGCAGAGATCAAGCCTTTGGAGGAAAACAAAGTATTTAAGGACCTGATATCCCAAATCGCAATGCCTACAATCCGCCGAGGGACCATCAAACTTGACAAATACAGTAAGTGGTTAAGTTTGTGCTACTTTATTCATTTAGCATGGTGAGTTTTATTTTGAAATTTTTACAATTGTCCCCACAATCTAACATATTAACATAGTAAAAGATTTAATTACACAACGCTTTAAACTTTGCTACTCGAGAAAAAAAAAAAAATCTAAACCGATAAAAATAAAAATACTGAAAATATGGTAAAGTACCGGGATTTGTAGTTGGCATAATTTCATTGTAAAAACAGTTTTCACTTCAGGTAGTTGATGCAATGGATGAGGACTAGACAGAAACAGAAGTGAAAGAAAATACATAGATTTTCACTGGAATCGTACCGAATGACACGTTTTCATGGAGCCCTGGGAAAAATTGCCAGAACTTTACATACATGTTTTTCTTCTTTCGGCTACTCCCTTCCTCAGGGGGTCACCACAGTGAACTAAGTCGCACGAACACTTGCCGATTGTTTTTTACGCCGGATGCCCTTCTTGACACAACCACAGACCACCGAACTACCACACCCCTTTACATACAATACAAATAAATAAATAAAATGTGGAAAAAAAATAGCGCTTTAGCCCTTTAAAAGTAGGAAACGTAAAGTGAGAAAAAATCTACCAAGGTAAGTTTTTAAATACAAGTACACATTTTTATCTACAGGTGCACAAATCAGAGTTACAAATTCACAAGTATAGGTGCTATATGTTGTCATCATTGTATGTTCCCATACAATGACGAAATTGGTTCTCTGCATTTAACCCATCGCACCTGGGATACACCCAGGTGGAGCAGTGGGCAGCTATTGAGCGCCCGGGAAGCAATTAGGGAATAGGTGTCTTGCTCAGAGACACCACGACATGTGGGCATGGCTGTGAGTCAAACCACGACTTTCTGGTCCCAAGTCAGCTGCTCTACCTCTACCACATCTCGGCCCCTCCAAGATTTTACTTCATATCTACCAACATATACAGTATATCCATAAGGCAAGATACCCACAACTACTGAAACGGCATTAACTTAGAATGACCACTAGTTGCTACGTCTATCACTTTGTATTGTTAACATGTCATAGCCACACATAGGTAACACCTTGTGCTTTCTGAATTTGTGTCATCAGTCCAAAAACACATAGATATAAGCCCATTTTACTTTAAATATATATTGTGACGACAAGATACGAGTAGGCTGTAATGAACCCATCACCAAGCTCGGTCCGTTGTTACTGGTGGCAAAATACCAACTCAACCTTCCAACATCATCATATCACTGACTGTATTTCAAAAAGTTTTATTACCAGTTGATGATCCTTCTCATGAATCAAGCGTTAGACTTACAAAATGTTGATTTACCGAACTTTTACAAGCTTCGCTTCATACCAGGTATCTAGAAGCGATTATTCAGACAAAGTAGCAAGACGTATACAATCGCAGACAAGATCTAAACGGGTCAAGATTTCAATGATTTGTGAGGTACTGTGGCATAATACTCACCCATGCAAAGTAATACCACATTATTTTAAGTGCAGAATCTGATGGTTATAACAATTATTGGTAAAACATTGGTTTCCTCTGCCGTGTTTAGGTTTTTAGTCAGAGAAAAATGGTCTGCTGCCATACTGGCAGTAACTAAGAATGCTGCATGGCACCTGCCAAGAGCGCAGTGCACTGCGGTCGGTCCTTCCAGTAAATTCCTATTTCCATTCCCGCGGAAAATTTGTTGTGCAAATACTTAAAACACGACCGAGGCTCTGTGGCTCACATGAGGAGAACCCCCTTACAAATGTTTTGAACCTTTTTGGAGATTCCCTCGTAAATGTGGTTTCGGAATTTGTCGCCAACAGTTGCAGTCGTTTATGGTGTGTCGTTTAAACAAAGTTGTTGAATTTACATTAAAATACCGGACTCTGACATTGAATGTTTATATTTTACTTTATTCATTCATATGTTTCAACTGACAGATCTTTGGTATCAGATGGTTTTACCTCCTGGTTTTGATGAGTCGAAGAAGTACCCTTTACTGATAGACGTGTAAGAATTCATTTTTGAATATATACGATAAATATTTATATATAAAGAGAGAAAGAGAAAGGGGAAAAAAGTACCGGGTTCTTGTATACTGATCAAGATTCTTTCACTAACCCTTTAGGTACGCAGGTCCCTGCAGTCAGAAAGTAGACCTCAGATACAGGGTGGGCTGGTCCACCTACCTGGCCAGTACTGAGAAAATCATCGTCGCAAGCTTTGATGGAAGAGGAAGCGGTTACCAAGGCGACCAGTTAATGCATGAAATCTACAAACGTCTGGGAACCTACGAGGTGGAAGATCAGATAACGGCGACTAGGTAAGACGAGCAAAGACCGGCTGAAACAAGTCGGCCAATCTCAAACAAACACCACCCACATTCACGAAAGCTTGATGAAACATGATTTTATTTGTTTCTCCAGTTAAAATGCTCTAATTCACAGTTGAATATAGTGCAATGGAAATATCAAACATCACAACAAAATAACAATTGTTTGTTTTGTCCTAATTTTCAAAGAGAATTCATCAAAATGGGCTTCATTGACAAAAACAGAGTTGCTATATGGGGATGGGTAAGTAAAGATTTTCGAAGAGCAATTACGCTGAGATCATTTACTAAGTGCTTGGTTTGTCTACCATGTTGATGTTGTCATTGTTCAAAGGGCAAGAAATGACTCTAAAGTGAAGTTAATGTTTCACTCTGATGTCCTTTAGGGAAGAGATGAGCTGCTATAAATGAATGGTTTTATCTTCCACAGTCCTACGGTGGATATGTTACTTCTATGGTCTTGGGTTCCGGCAGCGGAGTTTTCAAATGTGGAATGGCTGTCGCTCCAGTGTCCAAATGGGAATATTATGGTATTTCTTGAATCTTGAGCCTGTATCTCACTTTGCAGCGACTGTTGGTGGCTAGATGATAATGTGAGAAAATACACAGATTTTCCCTTAGAATCACACATAATTTAATTTACAATTCAAATCCAAAGCAAAAGCATTTTACTCGTGCTCCGAGTCTTGTGTTCTGATTCTGGTGTATTTTAGAGGGAGCGCTACAGCGCCTCATACAGGCCTGGCAAAGTTACTACAGCATCTTGGTTTGTTTCTGTATAAACAAAAACGTCTAGAAATGGCGCTGCAAGGAATATTTTTTGTAAACAATCAAATCAAAAGATAAGTTTAGAAAAACGGTGTTTCTACATGGAAACCTGAGTCTCCACGTGTCCTAATTACAGGTATATCTCAATTTAATCACAATTTAATCTCTTATTTTAGTCTCCATTAGGTCCCATATTGGTTTCAAATATTCCAAAACTTTCGAAGTTGGCCCACATTTCTCGAACTTTCTCAGTCAGGATTTGAGATGGGTTTCAGCAATACGTGGTGACTCTAGGGCTATTTTGAATGAAGATTTGTCTTGGATTTTTTTGAACACCTTTAAAATCATTGCAATGAGAACCTTCGGTAAGGTTTCTAAACTAGGACTGTCACGATAAACAATCAATTAATTGCATGATAGATGAAAATTATCAACCTCATTTTCATTTATTGGCTTTATAGTTTCTTTGTGTCTCTATTTCTGAAGACACTGGATGACAAAAAGCTCAACTTCGGTGCTCTTCAATGAACCCTTCCTTTCTCTTTTGAGAACCGAAAAGAGACAGCCCATGTCACGTCAAGGGGCCTCCCTCCCATTTTTCTTAGATACGCTGCTCGCTCCCTCACTATCCATTCTTCAGTTCAAACAGTCTTATAATGCCATCTGGTGGTCGAAAAAAGGTACTAGATGCAATACAAATTAAACATTTCTTCTTAAATTTGACAATAATTACTAATTATTGTCAAATTTCAAACCATATTATCGTTTATCGCAATAATTTCTGAGACAATTAATCACCCAGCGAAATTCTTTATTGTTACAGGCCTATTCTAAACATTTTGGCCAAACATTTGCCTCAACAAATGCAGCCCAGTGAGATATGGATATTTACTGGTGTCCAGTCTGCTTCAACAGTCTGACAAATATTGACTTTTGTTTATTCCAGATTCCATCTACACAGAGCGTTATATGATGCAGCCGTCAGAGAATTTTGATGCTTATGCTGTAAGCTTTGTTTTTTTTAATAGTTTTTTTTTTTTTTTAATGTTTGGTCAGTTGTAGTTGGTTATTTCCTTGCCTAAACACAAATCTGATTGTGCAGACCTCAACAGTAATGGCCAGAGCCAAGAATTTCCATTCGGTGGACTATCTTCTGATTCATGGAACAGCTGATGGTGAGTTATGTGGTGGTGGTAACTGTTTAATAATTATATGTGAACTTCATTGGTAAATTGAGTCACTACAGCTTACAAATAATTTAATAATTTAAAAATTCTTCATCTCAAAAGTTCTAAAATGGTTTTTAGTTTGTTGAAATTTGGCAATTTAACACCTGGCAACATGCTGGTTTTGTTTACGAGAGTTCTGGTATGAAAATTTGATTTACTTGGTCTAAAGTAAAGTTACTGGTAATTCCAGCCCTATATCAATAAAAGGGAGCTTCACAATGATGCCAGACACTACAAGAAGGGATTTCCCCACAAAGCTTGACAGAGAAACATGGTAAATTTCAAAGAATTAGAATTAAAAGGATTATATTGGAAGTTAAACCTGCAAGAAAACTTTGGCTTATAGGTGAATTATGAATGTTATGCTGTTTTAGTTACCGGGATAATTAAGACTTTATTGACTCATTTTTATGCAAATTTCAATTTAGGCAAAAATCAATATTTTCACCAGAACAGATCCCATATTTAATGTTGATTTATTTATACTGATGTTTTAGGCAATTTTGAAAAATAACCTTTTTTTGTCATAAAATACCAACTTTTAGACTAAGTTCTTTACCAGATCTCTATAAAATTAACCACTTTATGTATTACACTGTATGTTTTATTTTCTAGACAACGTTCATTTCCAGCAAGCTGCGGAGATCTCCGAAGCTTTGGTGCTTGAGAAGGTGGACTTCGAGGCCATGGTGGGTAATCTGAGAAGTCCGAAGTACAGTATTCCCTCGATTATCGCAGGGGTTACGTTCCAGACACCACGCGATAGGTGGAAAACTGCAAAGTAGGAACGCTATATTTATTTTAGTATTTATATATATTTTAAGGCTTTATATTCAACCTTTATTTAAACAGGTTAGTCCCATTGAGCCACGAGGACTCATTTACAAGAGAGACCTGAAAATATAAATCCTTCCCACAGTCTTGCAATGTTCTAAACTCTTAAACCTATGTAATTTTAACAACATACACTACCTTGCCAAAAGTACTCGCTCACCCGTCTAAATGATCAGAATCAGGTGTTCCAGTCTCTTCCATGGCCACAGGTGTATAAAATGAAGCACCTAGGCATGCAGACCGTTTTTACAAACATTTGTGAAAGAATGTGTCGCTCTCAGGAGCTCAATGAATTCCAGCGTGGAACTGATAGGATGCCACCTATGCAACAAATCCAGTCGTGAAATTTCCTCGCTCCGAAATCTTCCACAGTCAACGGTCAGCAGTGTTGTAAGAAAATGGAAGTGTTTGGGAATGACAGCAACTCAGCATCGAAGTGGTAGACCACGTGAACTGACGAAGCGGGGTCAGCGGTTGCTGAAGCACATAATGTGCAGAGTTCGCCAACTTTCTGGAGAGTCAATCACTACAGACCTCCAAACTTCATGTGGCCTTCAGATCAGCTCAGGAACAGTGCGCAGAGCTTCTTGAAATGGGTTTTCATGGTCGAGCAGCTGCATCCAAGCCATAAATCACCAAGTGCAATGCAAAGCGTCGGATGCAGTGGTGTAAAGCACGCCACCACTGGACTCTAGAGCAGTGGAGGCGCATTCTCTGGTGTGAAGAATCGCACTTCTCCATCTGGCAATCTGAAGGACGAGTCTGGGTTTGGAGGTTGCCAGGAGAACGGGACTTGTCTGACTGCATTGTGCCAAGTGTAAAGTTTGGTGGAGGGGGGATTAAAGTGTGGGGTTGTTTTTCATGAGCTGGGCTTGGCCCCTTAGTTCCAGTGAAAAGAACTCTGACTGCTTCAGCATACCAAGACATTTTGGACAATTCCATGCTCCCAACTTTGTGGGAACAGTTTGAAGCTGGTCCCTTCCTCTTCCTACATGACTGTGCGCCAGTACACAAAGCAAGATCCATAAAGACATGGACGGCAGAGTCTGGTGTGGATGAACTTGACTGCCCTGCACAGAGTCCTGACCTCAACCTGAAAGAACACCTTTGGGATGAATTAGAGCAGAGAATGAGAGCCAGGCCTTCTCGTCCAACATCAGTCTATATGTGACCTCACAATTGCGCTTCTTGAAGAATGGTCAAAAATCCCCATAAACACACTCCTAAACCTTGTGGACAGCCTTCCCAGAAAAGTTCAAGCTGGTCTAGCTGCAAAGGGTGGACCAACGTCATATTGAACCCTATGGATTAGGAATGGGATGTCACTTAAACTCATATGCGAGTCAAGGCAGGTGAGCAAATACTTTTGGCAAGGTATGTATATGTACTGTACAGTACTGCAAAATTTTTCTCACCAGCTCTGCAGAACAGCAGCTCAGTTCCGGTCGGGCTCGGTTCCAGTTCAGCTGACTTACCCTGCAGTGATGAAGCCCACCACCCCGACCAGGTTGATGTGCGCGAGAATAATTGAGCTTCAGAATTATTTGCGATTTTCCTGCCAGTCCTGAGAGCTTAATAGATAACGTAGATTTGCGTTGCAAAATTTTCCTTCCATTTCAGCAAAAAAGAAGTGGCCGGAAGCACTGTTGGCTTCTGGGTAGTGTAGTTATTTTAATGTGCATTACAGTATAGGTTTATTGAAAGAAAACTACAAAATGGTGGCGCCTGTCAGAAGGTTGTTTTTTTTTTTTTTTTGGTTAACTTTTTATCCCATACCATCTCAATCATGTGAGTAATATTAAAGTTGACAATCGTGTGTCTTGTACAATCTTACGTTGAAAAACCGCGAAAGAGCGACTTCGCGAAAGTCGAACCATGAAGTATCGAGGGACTACAGTATAACTGAAACAAATTATTTGGATTTTCTGACATTATATTCGCAGCACGGTGGCGCAACTGGTAGAGCTGCTGCCTCTCAGCGAGCAGGTCCCTAGTTCAAATCCCGGTCCGGGGGCCTTTCTGGGTGGAGTTTGCATGTTCTCTCCGTGCATGCGTGGGTTTTCACCGGGTACACTGGTTTCCTCCCACAGACCAAAAACATGCATGTTAGGCTGATTGGCAACTCTGAATTGTCCCTAGGTGAGAGTGAGAGAGTGAATGGTTGTTTGTCTCGTTTGTCTCTATGTGGCCCGGTGATGGACCTGCGACCCGTCCAAGGTGTACCCCGCCCCTCGCACAGTGATTGCCGGACATGGGCACCGGTGACCCCCGTGACCCAAAATGGAAGAAGCGGGTAAAAGATAATGGATGGATGGATGGATGGATGGATGGATGGATGGATGGATGGATGGATGGATGGATGGACATTATATTCTGTTCAGTAGACTGAAACTCTTGCCTAAAAAAAGCCATGGAACTTACTGCCTAAAAAAACAATAAAAAAAAACGTCCTTTTTGGGGAGGGTACTGTCAGAAATTCATGAATGCGTTTTATACTTTCAGTGGTACACCGACAAGGATCATGGGCTGGATGGTTCGGCCAATCAGCATGTCTACAATCACATGTCCCACTTCCTGAAGAGGTGCTTTGCCTGAATTTCATCAAACTATTTAAGATTGTCTTTGTAGTTTAAACTATGCTCTTATTTGGGAGCAGGAACGTAAAAAGCACAAAGTTGTCCAAGCCATAAATTATTATTCGTACCGGTGAAATCTTGTCTCGCATACATCAAGATGTGCAAACTCCACAATATCTGACAATCAGAAATAATTTTTCTTGTACCAAATGTTCAGGAATAAGTTATGTATTTTATTCAGTGTGTAAATTTTCTATTTAAAGATGTTTTAACTTGATGACAACTCGCCAGTGATGTTAAAAATATTATTTTGTCAAACGCCAAAGTGATTTTATACCGTTTTAAAAGAATTAAAGTTTAAAAATTGTAGTGTGTTCTTCAAAGATTTTTGAAAATATTAAAAATGAAATGAATATTTGTTACATACAGCATCATGTGGTCAATGTGTTTGTTTCTTGAAATGATCAGATTTTTTATTTTTATTTTTTTGGGGTACTATGATGGTATTTCTTAAAAATATCTTTATTTTGTCTGATGGCTTGTATTTACTGTATGTTTTATAACCTGCTCACCCTGTCTTTGTTCAGGTTTATCTCAGTTAGCTTGAGTTTCTGTTACCACCATTAGCATACAGTGCCACAAAGTTTCACTTTGACTTTTTTATAAACCTTTTTTTTTTTTTTTATTAAGTTTGGAAATCACACACGCCAAGACTTCACCATGAAGGGCGATAACTCAGTAACTCGATAAACCTCAGTTTATTACTAGGCTTAGTGGTCCATTTTGACCCAAAGTCAGCAGTAGGGTTGATGGTGAAATAAGTGTTTTGAAGCTAGCATAAAAAAAATAAAAACATAAAAAAAATTATTCAGGGCTGCCCATTGTCACCAATTCTGTTCATAACTTTTATGGACAGAATTTCTCGGTGCAGCCAGGGGGTGGAGGTGGCCTCGGGATTCCATCTCTTCTCTTTGCAGATGATGTGGTCCTGTTGGCATCATCGTGTCGTGATCTCCAGCGCTCACTGTTGCGTTTTGCAGTGTGAAGCGGCTGGGATGAGAATCAGCACCTCCAAATCTGTGGTCATGGTCCTCAGTCGGGAAAGGGTGGATTGCTCTCTTCAGGTCGTGAGAGACAAATTGGTACAGTTTCTGCAGTATTGCGGACTCTGTATCGGTCCGTTGTGGTGAAGAGGGAGCTGAGCTGTAAGGCAAAGCTCTCCGTTTACTGGTCGGTCTACGTTCCTACCCTCACCTATGGTTACGAGCTCTGGGTAGTGACCGAAAGAATGAGATTGTGGATACAGGCGGTTGAAATGAGTTTCCTCCGCAGGGTAGCTGGACTCTTTCTTAGAGATCGGGTGAGAAGTTCAGGTATCCGGGAGAGAGTCGGAGTAGAACCACTGCTCCTCCACATCGAAAGAAACCAGTTGAGGTGGTTCGGGCATCTGTAAGGATGCTTCCTAGACGCTTCACTATAGGGAGGTGCTTTGGGCATGTCTGACGGGAGGAGACCCCGGGGAAGACCCAGGACACGCTGTAGAGACTACGTCTCTCGGTTGGCCTGGGAATGCCTTGGAGTCCACCCAGAAGAGCTGGAGGAGGTGGCTGTGGAAAGAGATACTGGACCTCCCTGCTCAGGCTGCTGCCTCCGCGACCCAACTTTGGAACAAGCGGAAGATGATGGATGGATGGATGGAAAAAAATCTTGTTTTCAGAGTCTCATATTAAAAAATAAATCATAATTATAAAGAAATAACTTACTCAGGTCTCTTGTGTATTTTCTTGTATCACTCATTGTCATCGTGCCAAACAAACAAAGGATCCAAAACCTAGTGGTGAGTTGATATTACATGAGGATGGATAGTCTGAGGGTGAAATGCTTCAGTGTGTTGCAGTTAATTATAAAAACAAACCCGAAATTACAACAAGCATTTCATTTGTCACCTTCCAGAAAGATGAGAAAGTTTGATTGGTTTGGTTACTGTAGCTCCGGCGTGAAATTTACAACCCTAACTCAGGGAACCTATTATCAATTATATTCCCTTTAAGGATCAAACTGGCAAGACTGACCCAATCTCAATCTGCCCATCTATTCAGTGGAATGTTCACTACAGAAAAAAAGAGGCAAGAAAATTAGTAAAACGGAACAAAGTGAAAGTATGTTTCTGCTGCTTCCTTCTGCAAAGGTTTTCACAGTGAACAAACCCATAAAAACAACAAAAAAGGTTGAATCATGTCATCTGGACTTCGTTTTTTTGTTAAAAAAAAAACGAAGTCCAGATGACATGATTCAACCTTTTTTGTTGTTATATACCTGGATGACTGAGAAAACAAACTTTGTGTTTTTGAAACCCATAAAAGATTTGGCTATTGTTTTATATTGAGTGCCCATCCTGATGCAACCTGGGATCGAACCCGCAACCTAACAAGACGCTAGCACTAACCACCAAGCTAATAAGAGTCATCTCCTCCTCACATATACAGGTACTGTGTAAATATTACAGTGCTGGTCATAAAATTAGAATATCATGAAAAAGTTGATTTATTTCAATAATTCCACTCAAAAAGCGAAGCTTGTATATTCATTCATTACACACAGATTGATATATTTCAAATGTTTATTTATTTTAATGTTGATGATTATAACTGACAACTAATGAAAACCCCAAATTCAGTATCTAATAAAATTATAATATTGTGAAAAGTTTCAATATTGAAGACGCCTGGTGCCACACTCTAATCAGCTAATTTACTCAAAACACCTGCAAAGGCCTTTAAATGGTCTCAGTCTAGTTCTGTAGGCTACACAATCATGGGGAAGACTGCTGACTGGACAGTTGTCCAAAAGACGACCACTGACACCTTGCACAAAGAGGGCAAGACACAAAAGGTCATTGCTAAAGAGGCTGGCTGTTCACAGAGCTCTGTGGCCAAACATTAATAGAGAGGGAAGGAAAGGGTGTGGTAGAGAAAAAGTGTACAAGCAATAGGGATAACCGCACCCTGGAGAGGATGGTGAAACAAAACGCATTCCAAAATGTCCACAAAGAGTGGACTTCAGCTGGAGTCAGTGCTTCAAGAACCACCACACACAGACGTATGTAAGACATGGGTTTCAGCTGTCACATTCCTTGCGTCAAGCTACTCTTGAACAAGAGACAGCGTCAGAAGCATCTCGCCTGGGACTGCTGCTGAGTGGTTCAAAGTTGTGTTCTCTGATTACAGTAAATTTTGCATTTCCTTTGGAAATCAAGGTCCCAGAGTCTGGAGGAAGAGAGGAGAGGCACAGAATCCATGTTGCTTGAGGTCCAGTGTCAAGTTTCCACAGTCAGTGATGGTTTGGGGTGCCATATCATCTGCTGGTGTGGGTCCACTGTGTTTTCTGAGGTCCATGGTCAACACAGCTGTGCACCATGAAGCTTTAGAAAACTTCATGCTTCCTTCTGCTGACCAACTTTATGGAGATACAAAATTTCATTTTCCAACAGGACTTGGCACCTGCACAGAGTGCCAAAGCTACCAGTACCTGTGTACAATTGCAAACCGAGGTGTACCGCAAACCCACCCACACAGACCAGTATTTGCAGTTTGACTCCCATCACCCTTTGGAGCACAAGTTAGGAGTCATCAGGACTCTGTACCACAGAGCAGACAGCATCCCCACTAACTTGGGAGCCAGGCAGAAGGAGAAATCCCACACAAGACAGGCTCTAGAGCAATGTGGATATCCTAACTGGGCCTTCCTGAAAGCAGAGAAGAAACCCAAACAGGACTCCAGTCAGCCATCAGGTGAAAAGGAGGAACCCAGTCCCAGACCAGTGGTCATTCCATATGTTGAGGGAGTATCAGAGAAACTGAGACGTTTATTTTCTAAACATAACGTCCCAGTGGCTTTTAAACCCCAAAATACATTACGGCAAAGACTGGTTCATCCCAAAGATCCAGTCCCCCGGCACAAACAGAGCAATGTTGTGTATGCTGTTCAGTGTCAGGAGGGCTGTGATCAGTCTTACATCGGGGAAACTAAACAGTCACTGGCCAAAAGGATGGCCCAGCACAGAAGATCAACATCATCAGGCCAGGACTCTGCGGTCTACACTCATCTCCAGGCCAGCGGTCACTCTTTCAGGGATGAAGATGTGCACATCCTGGACAGAGAGGAACGATGGTTTGAGAGAGGAGTAAAGGAGGCCATCTTTGTGAAAAGAAACCGTCCATCATTAAACAGTGGTGGAGGCCTCCGGGTTCAACTGTCCCCCTCTTACAATGCTGTGATTGCTAGTATCACTCAGCCCTCTGTGAACAGTAAACAGCCATCAGTGTGCTAATGATCCATTGTTAGGCTGATGGTCCTTCTTGAGCATGTGATCAGCTGGTTTTGGTTGTCAGCAGCAAAACTGGTTGATCCACCCTGAGAAGGTGCTATTTAAGAGACTGAGCTGAAAACAGCTCCTCAGACTGAAGAAGTCTCTTGGATGAGAGACGAAACGTTTCTACATTTATTTGATTTATTTTTTGCTTTGTTTTGTTTTTTTGAATGTCCAGAGGACCAGATTGAACTTTTTTTGGATAAACTTCAGGTGTCTTTTGAGATGTTAAAAACATGTTGGAAAGCGTATCAGACCACCGTTAAACAGGAGAAAAACAAATATTTCTCAAAAATCATCAACTCAAACAGTCACAACCCCCGCGTTCTTTTCAACACCATTAACACCATTCTAAACGTGCCTCAGTCTGCCACCATTGAGGCCTCTGTCGACACCTGTAATAAGTTTGTCAGGCATTTTGCTGAAAAGTTTGAGTCGATTAGGTCATCAATTCCACACTCCACAGCCGACCCTTCAGTTCTTGTCCCCTGCTCAGCAGTCTTCAGTCACTTTGACCCCATATCACTCTCATTTTTAAATGAGGTCGTTGATCACATGAAGCCCTCAGGCTCCCCTGCTGATCCCATCCCTGCTGCATTTTTTAAACAGGTTCTACCGTCAACTGGACCCTCTGTTCTTGCCATTATTAACAGCAGTTTGGCTACAGGTGTGGTCCCTGATGTTTTAAAACATGCAGTGGTAACTCCATTAATTAAAAAACCCGGACTCGACCCTGCGGCTTGTTCTAACTTCCGGCCAATCTCAAAACTTCCATTTCTTTCTAAAATCTTGGAGAAAATAGTTTTTAGTCAACTAACCAAGTTTTTGAATGTAAATGGAATTTTTGAGATTTTTCAGTCAGGATTTAAACAACTGCACAGCACCGAGACAGCTTTAGTAAGGGTCTGTAATGACATTCTGCTAGCGAATGACTCTGGTCAGTCTGTGATCCTGGTACTCCTCGACCTTACCGCTGCATTTGACACTGTTGATCACAGCATCCTTATGTCACGGCTAGAACACTGGGTTGGGATTACAGGGGTGGCGCTAGAATGGTTCCGTTCTTATCTGGGTGACAGGAGTTTTTGTGTTAACTTTGGCAATCATTTATCTGCTTCTGTCCCTCTTTCCTGTGGGGTCCCACAAGGCTCCATTCTTGGACCCCTTCTGTTCTCATTGTATCTGCTCCCCTTGGGGTCAATCCTGAGGAAACATGGTATTTCGTTTCACTGTTACGCCGATGACTCTCAGATCTATCTACCTTTAAAACCAAACAATTCTTGCTCCATCCACCCTTTGCTAAAATGTCTTGATGACATCAAGACTTGGATGGCTGCAAACTTCTTGAGCTTTAATGATCAGAAGACTGAGGTCATTGTGTTTAACCCAAGCTCTACCACTGTCACTGATCCTGTAAACCTGCACTCCCTTCAGCCACATCTAAAGCAGTCGGTTACCAATCTCGGGGTAGTGTTAGACTCGGACTTTAAGTTTAATAAACAGATCAACTCTGTTCTACAAAAGAGCTTCTTTCAGTTAAGGCAAATAGCAAAGCTTAAGTCCGTTCTGTTCAGATTCGACCTTGAAAAACTAGTCCATGCATTTATTACTTCCCGGCTGGACTACTGTAACTCACTTTATGTTGGGGTTAGTCAGGCTTCACTCTCACGTCTCCAGCTCGTACAAAATGCTGCAGCTCGGCTTTTAACAGGAACTCACAGGTTTGAGCACATTACTCCGGTTCTGTCCTCCCTTCACTGGCTTCCTGTGCGTGTCAGAGTTGATTTTAAAATTCTCCTGCTGACATTCAAGTGCATTAACGGCCTTGCACCATCATACCTCTCTGACCTTCTTCATCCTTATACTCCTTCTCGGGCTTTGAGATCATCAGACCAGCTGCTTTTGGCCGTACCAAAAACCAGCTGAAGCTCAGAGGAGATCGAGCGTTCTCAGTCGTGGGCCCTAAACTCTGGAACAATCTGCCCATCAACATTCGACAGGCCACCTCAGTCTCTGCCTTTAAATCTCTCCTAAAAACACACTTATACTCATTGACATTTAACACAGGGTGATCGGCTTTAGATCTGGTTTTTCATTGATGCTGATTCTGTTTATGCTTTTGTTATTATTCCTATTTAACACAAGGTCATCTGATCTGATTTAGTATTTCATTGTTTCTGACTGAGTTTATGCTTTTTGTTTTTATTTCCTTGACTTTTGACACAACGTGATCTGATTTAGTATTTCATTGTTTCTAATTGTTTTTGGTTTTATATTTTTATTCCATGTGCTGTAAATATATCTTGCTACTTTTTATCTGTTGATGTGATATTTTTGTTAAGCACTTTGGTAACAGTTTCTGTTTTAAATGTGCTCTATAAATAAATCTGACTTGACTTGACTTGACTTACCAGAGATAATGTTTTAGTTCCATAAAATACAAAAGCTGCAGTGAAGCGAAGCAAAAATGAGTTTACCTTTATTGATCTGTTCCAGCTGTAAATCAGTTTCCTGCTTCTGATGCAAAAAAAAAAAAACAACAACCCTGATCAATAAGTTCAAATTGTTTTTTCCAATTGAGACGAATCCACAAATACTGACTCACCACCCTGATCTAGCAGTGCACGTATCACTTCCCATCACGGTGACACGGTAGCACATTAAAAAGCATCTCCATGGGCCTTTTGTTTGCCTAGATGAGCTGTGGTTGTTTGATCTTGACACCTATACAAGCAAGCATCACGCATGACCTACGCCTTTCCTCAGATGAACAAACGCTCGGCTCGTTGGTTCGGTTGCGGCTGGGGGGGGGGGGGGGGGGGGGGGCTGAGTCTAATGGGTTGAGAGTAATGGGATGATCGGGCAGGAGTGGTAAAAACCGGCCCACCTGAGCAGATTTGTCCTCCTCCTCCGGTATATAAGGCTGGGACATAGGACAGGTTGCTCATACGCCTGCACCAAGCAAAGGAACTACCGGCACCGCTTGGAAGAGAAAATCAAAAAGGTAGGTTTAGTCTTTAACCGGTTTTACTCTCACTGTTCTGATTCATGAGGCCAAGTGCTTCTTTCCGTATGTCCCTGTCGTAGGTTCCAAACATGAAAAGCATCAACTCTGTGGCCGGCGTCCTTCTGGTCCTCGGGTTCATCCAGATCAGCTGGCAGGTTCCACTGCTCGACACTGAGGAGCGCTCGAGGTAGAACCCGTTGGCTTCACGGGTGTTTTCATCCTCTACGTAGCCCAGGTTTACAAAGAAGACACGGTCAACAGCTTTGAGTGAGATCCGGACATTTTCCAGAGAATTAAAGACAGGAGAGTCAACTGTGGCTTAAACTTACATTTTCCAAAAGTTTCTAAAACCTAAAAGGCAAAAGGTTCAGGAAAAAGTTGGTGGATTTCTTATGGGTGGAATTTAAACATATACACAATGTGATGGAAAATGTTTACATTTCCAATCAGTTTACAATCTGAAGAGACTAAATGTTCTGGCTCACATCAGTACCTTCCATGAAATCGACGTCTAATTTGGTCTAAAAAAATTTTTTTTTTAATAAACTGTACACTTTAGGTGGCACGGTGGAGCTGTTGCCTCTCAGTGAGAAAGTCACCAGTTCGAATCCAGGATGGGGACCTTTCTATGTGGAGTTTGTATATTCTCTCTGTGCATGCGTGGGTTTTCTCTGGGTACTCCTGTTTCCTCCAACAGAGCAAAAAACATACATGTTAGGCTGATTGGTAACTCTAAATTGTCCTTAGGTGTGACAGTGTAAATGTTGTTTGTCTCGTTTGTCTCAATGTGTCCCTGTGATGGACTTGTGACCTGTCTGGGGTGTACCCTGCCTCTTGCACAGTGATAGCTGGATATGGGCACCAGTGACCCCTGCGACCTGAAAAGGAAGCAGCTGGGTAAAGACAATGGATGGTTGGATAATAAACTTTATTGTTCCTCGTGATGGTGACCGAGTTTCGTAACATGGCAACTGTCTGTTTTATTTCTCCTGCAGGTTGGAGCAGGACGACACGTTATCGGATGAGTCCAGAGAGCTGTCCAACATGAAGAGACACTCTGACGGAACGTTCGCCAACGACTACAGCAAATTCCTGGAGGACCGGAAGGCGCAGGACTTTGTCCGGTGGCTGATGAGCAACAAGAGGAGCGGGTTGGTTTGACCTCTGCAGACACTCAACTTTCAAACGTTACGTGTTCCTGTGTCCCCAAAAAAATACAAGACGAACGTATGAGAAAAAAAGTCAAAAACGGGGTCTGGTGTGTGTCTTTGTAGAGCCGCAGAAAAGCGCCACGCTGATGGGACCTTCACCAGCGATGTGAGCTCGTACCTTAAGGAACAAGCAATCAAAGACTTTGTCGCCAAGCTCAAGTCTGGACAAGCCCGAAGAGAGTAGGCTGTCTCTCCCTCCTCCTCCTCTTCTTTCTGCAGAACTGACCCAACTGAAACGGCCCTCTTGCCTCTGATTCCACTGCGACGATGAGAAAAAGAGCGATTGTGAACCAATCATTTGCTTCTTGTTGCCCCGCCAACCCCCTTTTTTCCCCTCTTTGATGTGCTGAAATAAATCACCTGAACCTTTCCACTGCGTTGATTTCTGTATTTCCTCACTTTGCGACAAAACACACACGATGACCGCGGTCGTACTCTTGTGAGAGCTGTAGCAGCAAGCGATGGTCGTTGCAGCTCGGGTGGCAGGTTTCCACGTCGTTGTTTTTGTGGGGGGGTTCATGCCGACCCGCCACGGGCCTTGTTTACACTGTGTCCCTGTGTACGCACCCAGATCGCATACGACCAGGTGGAGCAGGAGACACGTAGATGGAAGCTTCACCAGCGATGTGAACAAGGTGCTCGACTCCATGGCCGCCAAAGAATATTTGCTCTGGGTCATGACCTCCAAGCCTTCAGGGGAAAGGTAAAGCTGAGCACCTCAGATCGGGTGAATTGTTTTAGTTGGGCCTGATTGTGATTTTCTCTCTTTTGCAGTATGAAAAGGCAAGAGGAGCAATAATACCTTCCCTCAGAGATCCATTTCTGCTGCGCTTCAAGCCATATCCAGGAGGAGAAAGCCATACTGCTTTGAATTTCTTTTTTTATTTGACTTCATTATGAATGTAAATGCAAACGGCACAAATACGTTACTCTTCCACAGACCTATGATGCACAAGAGGTAAAGTTAAGAGGCTCGTTATTTTCTACAAATTGAGCTTATTTTCTATATCGGGTGAAAAGAAGAACACAGGAGGTTCCGTCTCAGGTCGTCTCAGGTGAATGTCAACGCGGATGAAAACTTTACGAATAAAACTTTTTTTTTTTTGATTTTGGATCGTGGCATTGGTCTTGTTTGTTAAACTTCATATAAACTCAGTGTATGAATCTTCTTTAAAATTAAACTCCAAAATAGACAACAGATTAAAAAAAACAGCTACAGCATCTCCTGTTGAAGTTTGAAACTAGGAATTTGTTTGTAGTTATGGGTGTTTTGGTCAACTTTTAAAAAACTGTCATGGACAATGTACAAAATATTGTGAGATTTTATTCCATCAGTTAGTTTTCATAATATGTGGTGGGGATGACCCTCAGCTACTGCCACACCAAATTTTAGTTCAATATCTGTAAAATTGACTGATTTATAGTGATTTATGTGTTTGGAAAGTTTGAGTAGGTGTGGCAGCCATCTTAAATCTGGTTGGCTTTAAAAGTTAAACAGTTGTAGAATTTCATCCAGTGACTAATTTCTGAGCGTTTCAATAAAACCTGTGCATTGGTTCATGAGATATTTTGCCAACAGACAAACAAGATGGACTCCAACAGAAGGCCAAAGCTTTAAGTAATGATGTTACTCAACAAGTAGCACTTGGAGTAGATGTCGAAGACCAATCTCAGCTACTAAAACAAAAAATTTAAGCTCAGTTTTTGTAAAACTGACTAATCTGTAGCCATTTTTGTGTTTGCTAAATTAGATTAGCTGTGGCGGACATCTTGAATCAGGCTGAGTCCAAAAATTAAACCGATATAGATGCACATCCAGTGAAAAAATTCTGAGAGTGTCATTAAAATATGTTCATCGGTTCATGAGATATTTTGCTAACAGACAAGATAATCGCACATACAGATAAATAAGAAGTTACAGCACCAATTTGCTCACTTCATTCATGGAAATAAATATTTATTTTGTGAGCCATGACACAAAGCTCTCCTAAGACTCTGGACTTAAGTTCAAGAAGTATAAGTGTATGTGAGCGTACAGATAGTTGTAACCAGATGTTTACACACTGTAAAAAGAAGAAGGCTGCTTTATTTTCCTCCAGATAGGTGTAGATGAGGAGTGGCATCCTGATAACAGATCAAATAAAAATCCCTCGCCACAAAATATAGTTTCTCCTAATGATTATTATTTACTTACCGGTTTAATTTGCCGTATATTGTGATGTCTTCTCGTCTTTCAAGGATTTAGACTTAAAGGTTTTTGGTGATTCGTTCGTTCAGCTCCAACGCACCTGATTTGAATGAGTGGGTGATTAACAGGCTTCTGCAGAACCTGAAGTTGTAATTGCACAATTGAATCAGGTGTGTTGGAGCAAGGAAACAAGTGAAACATGCAGGATAGTGGCCCACGAGGACTAGGATTGGACACCCATGATAATGCTTAAATCAGGAATGTCTAATCCTGGTCCTCAAAGGCCACGTCTATCGTGCATGTTTTATTTGTTTCTCTGCTCCAACACACCTGATTTGAATCATAAGGGTCAATCACCACATAGTAACTCAACTATTAAAACAGGCATGTTGAATTGGGGAAACTTCTAAAATAAGCAAGGTAGTGGGCCGCAAAGACCTGGATTGGACATCTCTGGTATGGAGCCTAGTGTCCAACAGTGAAGGTTTTTTATTTATATAAAAAAAGCCATCCATCTCAACACTGCTTCTCTGTGTGGCATTGTGAGGAAATCAGACAAGATGTCAGGAAAGTTATTGTCCACAACTCTGGTCCATCTTTGGGTACAATGTCCAGATGTCCGAAGGTTCATCTGTTCAAACATGTATACACAATTAGAAACATCATAGGAACGTCCTGCCATCACACCGCTCAAGGAGGAGTGGGGTTACACTGAAGGGTTGTGTCTAACCAGGTGGTCAGTAGCTCAGGAGCACCACAGGGGACTGTACTCTCACCATTCCTTTTCACTCTGTACACCTCAGATTTCCAGTACAAAACAGACTCCTGTCATCGCAGAAATATTCAGATGACTCTGCAGCGGTCGGGTGTATCAGAGATGGACAAGAAGGAGAATACAGGGAACTGGTGGACCGCTTTGTGGCATGGTGTGGAAACAATCATCTCATCTTGAATGTGAACAAAACGAAGGAGATGATTGTAGATTTCAGGAGAAACAGGAACAGGTCCAACCCTTCTTCCATCATGGGAGAAGAAGTGGAGGTGGTGGAGAAGTATAAATACCTTGGGGTTCACCTGGACAACAGACTGGACTGGAAATGCAACAGTGAAACCGTCTACAAGAAGGGACAGAGCAGACTGTACTTCTTGAGGAAGCTGAAGTCCTTCAATGTTTGCAGCAAGATGCTGCATATCTTCTATAAGTCTGTTGTAGAGAGCGCTCTCTCTTCTGCCATCATCTGCTGGGGGAGCAGCACCAGAGCAAGTGACTTTAAAAAGACTCATGAAGAAGGCTGGCTCAGTTCTGGGGACTCCTCTAGAACCTTTGGAGATGATTGTACAAAGAAGGATTTTTCATAAATTGAAGAACATTATAGACAACCCTCAGCATCCTCTTCATCAGACTGTCATACAACAACAGTGTCTTCAGTCAGAGGCTTCTTCAGATCCGTTGTAGGACAGACCGCTACAAGAGATCCTTCCTGCCCACAGCCATCAGCATCTAGAACAACTCTTTAATGAAACCAGAATGATGAGCTACAACAACATTTAATTTCCCTCTGGGATCAATAAAGTATTTTTGAATTTGAATGGAATTTGAATTAACCTCAAAACAAAAGATCTTGTGAAAATGCTGCTGAAGCTGGTCAGAGTGGTATTATCCACAAAGAAATGAGTTCTGAACCAACATGGGCGGAAAGGACACTAAAAAAGTCAGATGGTAGTTTGTAAAAGCACACTGGGACAAAGACCTAAATGTTTGGAGACATACTGATGTGGTTTGATGAAAATTGAACTGTTTCACAAGAAAGACCATCATTACATTTGGAGTAAAAGTCAAGGAAGCTTCAAGCCTGAGAACGCCATCCTACCTGTGAACTATGATGGCCCTAAGGTGTAAATGAACATTTGAAAAAAATGGAATTACTTTAAGCCAAAGCGGAAGTGGCCGGAATCACATTTGAAAATAAAAAACAACAAACAAACAAACCAGAATTACATTAGACAAAACAGAAATTATATAATTTTTGAATGATTCTGTTTTTTCAAATGTAATTTCATTTTTTCAAATGTAATTCATTTTTTTCTAATGTGATTCTGTTTCTTCAAATGCAATTCTGTTTTATCTAATGTGATTCCGATTTTTTCCAAATGTAATTTCGTTTTATCAAATGTGATTCCGTTTTATCTAATGTGATTCCATTTTTTCGAATATAATTTCGTTTTTTCTAATGTGATTCCAGCCACTTCCACTTTGGCTTAATGTAATTCCATTTTTTCAAATGCATTTCCTTTTTTTTTTTTTTTCCAAATGTGATTCTAGCCACTTCCGCTTTGGCCACTTCTACTTTGGCTTAATGTAATTCAGTTTTTTCAAATGTGATTCCGACCACTTCCACTTTGGCTTAATGTAATTCCATTTTTCAAATGTATTTCCATTATTTATTTTTTTTCCAAATGTGATTCCAGCCACTTCCGCTTTGGCCACTTCTGCTTTGGCTTAATGTAATTCACTTTTTTCAAATATGATTCCAGCCACTTCCACTTTGGCTTAATATAATTCCATTTTTCAAATGTATTTCCTTTTTTTCTTTCTTTTTCCAAATGTGATTCCAGCCACTTCCGCTTTGGCCACTTCCGCTTTGGCTTAATGTAATTCTGTTTTTTCAAATGTGATTCTGACCACTTCCACTTTGGCTTAATGCATTTCCATTTTTTTTTTTTTCCAAATGTGATTCCAGCCACTTCTGCTTTGGCCACTTCCGCTTTGGCTTAATATAATTCAGTTTTTTCAAATGTGATTCTGACTACTTCCACTTTGGCTTAATGCATTTCCTTTTTTTTTCCCCAAATGTGATTCCAGCCACTTCCACTTTGGCCACTTCCGCTTTGGCTTAATGTAATTTTGTTTTTTCTAATGTAATTCCGTTTTTTCAAATGTAATTCCAGTTTGTTTGTTTTTCAAATGTGATTCCGGCCACTTTCGCTTTGGCCACTTCCGCTTTGGCTTAATGTAATTCCGTTTTGTCAAATGTTATTTGTTGTTTTTGTTGTGTTTTTTTAAATGTAATTCTTTTTTTTCCCCAAATGTTCATTTACACCTCAGGGCCACCGTAGTGAACAGGTGAGTGAAGAAACAACGAGGCAACATTTGAAGACATCAGCCCGGAAGTTCAAACTTCGACACAAATGGGTTTTCAACTGGTCAATGACGCTAACCCGTACGGCCATATTAGTTACAAAGTGGCCTAAAGACATTTGGAAGTGGCCGTCACAAAGCCCTTTACAGAAAACTTCAACCATTGAGAAAAAAGAAAAAATAATAAATGAACACACCACAAATGCTGACTTTTTAATCTTTATTTAGGCTCTCCTGCGCTCTCGCTCTCTCTCACATTCTCATGAAACGAATGATTGAACAACAAATCTGAACTGATTGTTCTTTTAACAGGTGACTCATTAAACAGAAAGTTTCCTCCCGTTCCTACCAAATTTAAGGCAGAATTTCACACAGAAGTGGTCAAAATGTTCCATACTGATATTATTCTGACCCACGGTTAGTTTCTCTAAGCTCCTACAAACCATCAAGCAAAAAAAACAACAAAAAAAACAAACAAATAAACAAAAAAAAACACCTACAACAAAATCTGAATTCAACACTTACTTCTTAATATATTAGTAACATTTTACATTAATAAATTATAGCTACTGTGTAATATACATTGTTAAAACTCTTTACCATTTATTACATGTTGCCCTTACCAAAAAGCAAAACAAGAGAAAATAATTATTGCATCTCTAGAAGTAACCACGTTCCTGCAGCGAGACAGTTTCACCGCCATGCGGGTTTTTTTAATTTTTATATTTTTTTTAAACAATTAGCTTCCGATGCTAACACACGGAGCGTGGTTAGGAGAGGACACCATGTGGATGACACTCGCTGACAAAGAGTACACAGGTGGAAAAACATTGTACAATCATCCAAAAGTTGAGCGTTTTAGGTTTCGCCCTCTTTTGTTTTAAAAGCAGAAAGTGGCTAACAGTAGCTAAAGCTAACAAAATATCCAGCCATGCAAGCTTGGAAATGCAACTTTTACCAAAGCTGCTTCCAGAAATACGACAGACAAATGAAAGAGTTGAAATCTCCTCTGAAATCACATTATTGAGATATAAAGTGCTAAACTGTGAGTTTTGTGTTTCTCTTAAAGGGATAGTTTGTTTTTGTTTTTTTTTAGGTTACGAGCAGCCAGTGTACTGAGTGCATCTCAGCTTGAAGTAATTAAACTTAGCACAAAATGTACAGGAATTTGTGTTTTGTTGATTATTTTGTCGTTACAGTGTTTCTTGGCCATAAATGTTTAACCGTTAGAAAGCCTGTTAAATTCTCCGTAAATGGTGCCACGTTTGTTAGTAAAATACGTTCGTGGGTTGCGCCCATTAAAAATCTTGCCAAATAGTTCCTGTCAAACAGCTCATTCTGCTATTGACTCCTGTTTGGTGGCGCTTATGGGATTGTATGAATAAAGTCAGAAGACGCAACGCAAACGGAGACCTCGGTAGTATGTGGAAGAACCATACACAGCCACAACAGCCTGGTACTGGTAATTCTGGTTGTGTTGGTCACGCTGGAATAAATAAATGCCCAAGCTGATATCACAAGTGTTCAATGGGATTGCGGACAGGACTGCAAATAATCCCAAATTCTAGATAGTTTAGTTTAGATAGTAAGGTCAACAATTGCCATCTTGGAGGATAAAGTTTGGACCCAAGCCATGGAGATATGGGAATATCACTGATTGCTCAAAGGTGCTAAGGCACCTGAGGTACCAGAAGCTCAACGTAGAGTCAATGACAGAAAAAGTTGCTTGGCAGAGATTTGAGTGCGTCTTATTGTACAAATCAACCCACATACTCAACTTCGCTGCTCAACCCACAAATGTATTTTACTAATAAATGTAATAGTTTAAGGTTTAACCCTCCTGCTGCTGTTGGGTTAAACTGAAGCTTAGTGGGTCAACTTGACCCAGAGGCAGCGGGAGGGTTAAATTAATTCTAACTGGACAATCCAATCTTGATCTACAAGACCAAGACCAAAGCAGATTTCTTCAGATTTTGTTAAGACCTTGACTGCTCATAACCTGTCGACGTAACCCCACAGTAAAGACTCTGAACTACCCCTTTGAGCAATTGGAACAGTTTAACTTTTTTGATTTTTTTTGTGCTTAGCTGAACCTCTTACTTGCGTTAGCTTCATTTTTAAGTATGAAGCGTACCGATCTCTTTCTTGAACGCTCAGTAACGGGGGCTAAGAAATGAACATTTTCAGGTTCAATCGAGGAAAAGCTTGACCGGACAAGAAACATTTATATGTGCAACAGCAATGGAGAGTACCTTAAAGTGATCTGAACCGTCACTGACACAAGGACGTATAGATTTACAGCTTTTATATAGAAAACGTATATTTAATACTTTCAGAAAATTACAAGTCTCTACATAGCCAACTCTCTTAGATACCAGTGATTTGGATTAGTATTGGCAAAATCTTTTACTATTATTTCTTTTATTCTAAGGTGCGAAATTCAGCAGCATCAAATGCTCCACACGAAATCCCTTGGTGGTTCATAGCGGCAGGTTTTTAAAAGGACAACTTGCAGTTGCTCTTGGAAAACATATAAAAACATACAAAGTACAAATGATAAAGATTTAAAATCCTTTTAAAATGTTTCCATAATTGGCCGAACTTCATACTGTGGGTGTCACATAATTCTGGCTTCGCTGTGGTTGCTGGTAGTTATGTTTATATATATAACTGGTTTTCTTTTAGTAATATGGTTTCTAACAAATACTTCTTTGAACACACACACATGACTAAAAACACAGTGTAGCACAGTACAAAGGTGATCGAGTGTGGCACGGTATATTTGTTTTTGTATCTTCCGACTGCACTGTGGCACCACCAGTGCACGTCATCACAAACTTGTCTCCCTGTCCAGGCTCTTGTCATGCCGCCGCCGCTTGTGCCGCTTTTCACCACCTCTGGCACAACTGAGTCGGGAGGAAAAACAGAATTAAAGCGAACTGTTTTAGTAGACAACGGCACAGTCGTCAGCGGCATGCCAGCTTACATGCAGATGTGGTCAGATGTTTCCATCCACTCATCGCGAGCAAGAATATCGTATTAACTTTGGGCTTTTGATTACTGTTTTAAACTGTTCTTTAATGGCCAACTGTTTACCCAGCTTTAAACCTAATGTGGGTTTTTTGAATCCACAAGAGTCAAAATTATATATACAGACTCAAACATATTCATACATTCACTAATATTTTAATAAATAGTGCTGAAGTGTCTCTAGAACATGTGTCAAACTCAAGGCCAGCGGGCCAAATCTGGCCCTTGTTAGCATCTTATCTGGCCCCCGTGATGGAATTTGGGAAATATAAAATATTTTTATTGCTTCACATTTTGATTATAAATTTGAGACTACTTCATTTGATGCCTCAAATCTATCAATCTATCTATCTACAGTATCTGTCTGTCTCAATGGCGTCAGAAGCATCCGTAATGTGGGGGGGACACAATCATGTGTGTAGGTGTGTGTGTGCCCGCGCGTGCGTAAAAAAGTGTTGACTAATGAACAAAAAAAAAGCAACATTTCATCTAGATTTCCTTTAATTCCACACATTTAAAGCATGTTTCTCACTAAGTTTGTGTAAATTCAGCTGTGAGTTTTAAAGACATCTTAACTTTAATACACTTTAACACTTTAACCCTGTGGGGGGTACTCTGGGAGTGTGGGGTACCGGGCCCTTTGATACGGGCTGTTAAATCCCTGTATGACCGGTGTCAGAGCCTGGGCCGCATTGCCAGCAGTAAGTTGGGCTTGCTCCCGGTGAGAGTTGGACTCCATTAAGGTTGCCCTTTGTCACCGATTCTGTTCATAACTTTTATGGGCAGAATTTCTAGGCGCAGCCAAGGTGTTGAGGGGATCCGTTTGGTGGCCTTAGGATTGCGTCTCTGCTTTTTGCAGATGATGTGGTCCTATTGGCTTCATCAGATCGTGATCTACAGCTTTCGCTGGAGCGGTTCGCAGCAGAGTGCGACACGGCCGGGATGAAGATCAGTTCCTCCAAATCCGAGGCCATGGTCTTGAGCCAGTAAAGGGCCCTCTCCGGGTCAGGGAGGAGGTCTTGCCCCAAGTGGAGGAGTTCAAGTATCTTGGGGTCTTGTTCACGAATGAGGGAAAAATGGAACATGAGATCGATAGGCAAATATCTGCGGCATCGGTAGTGAAGCGGGCGCTGTACAGCTCTGTCGTGGTGAAGAGAGAGCTGAGTCAAAAGGCGAAGCTCTCAATTTACCAATCGATCTACGTTCCTACCCTCATCTATGGTTAGGGTGCCTCCTGGACGCCTCCCTGGTGAGGTGTCCACGTCCTACCGGGAGGAGACCCAGAGGAAGACCCAGGACACGCTGGAGGGACTATGTTTCTCGGCTGGCCTGGGAACGCCTCGAGATTCCCCCGGAGGAGCTGGAACAAGTGGCTGGAGAGAGGGAAGTCTGGGCCTCCCTACTTAGGCTGCTACCCCAGCGACCCGACCCCGGATAAGCGGAAGAAAATGGATGGATGGATGGATGGATACACTTTAACACAGAGCGTCGGGTCGGCACTATTTGTGTTTATAGAGAAATAAAAAAACATCACCACTGGACTTTTTTTACTTGTGTTCAACACTACTCATCTAAATGATGTTTCTCGTGAAGATTGAGGTGCGGGGTTTTAAAGACATTTCAACTTTAACGCACCTGAACACACAGCGTCTCACAGCGTCACGGTTACTGCTAAGATGAGATGCTACAGACGTAGCGCTCCTTTCAAGCATCCTCCTAACATGTATATATGTTTATGATCAACCCCCCCGGTCAACAACTACCCACACTAAGCATACTAAACTGGCAAACGAGCAACACAGAGGTGTCTCCATCTCCTCCACCTGTGCGCATTTTCTGTCGAGGCAGGAGGAGACGTAGAGGAGAAACACTGCTGCTGTGTTTAGAGTTGGAGGTAACCAGGAAAGCCTGGAGTGGAGTTTTAGAGGTCAGAGTATTCTCCTATTAAACAAGTGGAATGGATTCGTTCACGAAGAAAAAGAAACTGCGCCGACTGAACTAATGTTTCATAGTAAAAGTGTGTGTGTGTGTGTGTGTGGGGGGGGGGGGGGGTCCAAATGAATGCTGGTGAAGATTCTCAGTCATCCAGGACATGATGAATTCAAAAAGCGTTCAATTGTCCAGTTGTTTTTGTATTGAACGCTTTTTGGGTCCAAATGAATGTTTTTTGAATATAATACCTCCCTTTGGAGGTTTTCCAGGCAAGTCCCACTAGGAAGAGAACCTGGGGAAAACCCAGATTGTGTATCTTATCTGGCCTGTGAATGCCTTGGAGCCCCCCAAGAGGAGTTGGAGAGTGTCAATGGGCAGAGGGATGTCTGGGTTTCTCTCCTGGACCTGTTGCCTCAGAGACCCAATAAACAATACAATGCGGAAATGGTTTTGATGTTCAGGAACAATCCAGGAACCACCAAAGCTCAAGCCTGCCATGAACTGGAAACAGTTGGAACACCAGTTCTCGTGCACAGCAGACGTTTGGCCACAGATAGAAGTTTGTTTGAAAGAGTCAGTGTGAGGCTTTCAAACAATTTGGGTGTTTCAACAGGACAGTGATCCTAAACACACATCGGAACTGGTTTCTGATCGATAAACTGGGCTAACGTTAGGCATTTGGAATTGCTGTCACAAAGCCTCAACCTCATTCAAATCTTGTTAAGTTAACAAGATTTGAATAGGCAAGACCTGGATTTAAACAACGTTACGTTGTTTAAAAGCCAGGTTTTGCCAGTAAACCAACCAGTTTAAACAAACTTTACAAATTGTACCAAGTAACAGTGGTCAAAAGTCCAGCAGACTTTCACCAGAAGCTTGAAGATGGAAACCAAAAAGTATGTTGTCGAGATGCAAATGTTAAACGTTAGTGGGAGTTTCTGGAAACATTAGAGTTTGTATGTATAAATTTGTGCAGATTACAGAAACAACTTTTTGAATTCAATCTTTAAAAAAATTATTGATGTATGTTGCATACAAATAATTCACAACCCAAATTTGATATAAAATTTAAACCCCCGAATGAGTGGACATAAACTACTGACCGCAACTTTGAAAAGACTAAGGTCCTACTTCAATGTAGTTTACTGTTGTGTTAAAAGTCAACATGCAAACACAATCCATGCTGTGTTACCAGTTCAACACCATCATCTAGATTAGCTCCGATCACTTGAATCATAACGTACACCACGAACTGACACCATGTTCATCATGAAACATGCGGCAGAAGACAAACAAAATGAGACTCTCCATGCTGACAGGGATAGCTGGGAACAGCTTACCTTTGGGATATCAGCTTCTGAAAGGTTAGGAGGGGGAGCTTTGGAGTGGGATGGAGCGAGAGAAGCAAGCAGGACATACTATGTTAGTCTACTCAGTGGGAAACCAGCGAGGGCACAACTGCACTTCAATAAACAGACATCCTTACTGAAAAATTGCGAGACAACCAAAATGTTGCGTTATACTTATGTTTTTCCAACTTGAAATGGATTTGTTATCACACAAACAAATAATGTGGTATTGGTAATATAAAATATACTGATGTGGACTAAGGGGGGAATAATAAGTACACAAAGCTTACCTTTTAGCAATCAGTTCCTTCTGAGAGCTCTCAACAGGACTGGCACTCTTCCACACGCCCCCGAAAGAGCCTTTGGACATCTCATCGGTGATGTTCACCGTGGACGGATCATTCCTTTCAAATATGCAGCAATGAGAAAGGTTTTATTTCACCATCAGGACTGGGTTTTCCTCACTAATCTGTGACCAATGTGGGATGTTTGATTTTCCATGCCGTCCACACAGCAATGTTTTTTGTCAATACGCAAAAGTTATTGTTTAGGCCTTGTGTCCTCATGGAAACAGTGTTTAAGAAAACCAGAAATGGTGGTTTTTGCAAATGGTTTCCAGATTTTTAAAGAAATTGTGTTGTCATGTGGATAGCCAAAACACAGCATTTTGAAAAGGAGGATGCTGTAGTCCTACTTCTAATTAACCTATGACCCAAGCCACATACAGGCTTGGCATAGCATTTTGTGCTGTTTTCAGGGATTTCATGTAGACAAAGACATTTCTAGAAATGGTGTTGTGTTTCATGGGGGAATTTTTTTCTAAATTGCCAATTTAAAAAAATAATTTTGGAAAAAAGCTGTTTACATGCAGACATGACCTTAAACAAAACCATTTTACCCAAGAATAACTTGTTAGAATCGTGCCCTGTAAGAGTGTACATGTTTCCTAATGTCTAGCCCCATCTTGTGTTGTGTTTATGTCTTGTGCTCTCCTTATCCTTAGTTTCTGTCTTCTATAAAGTCTGTGTTCTCCTAGTGTATGCCTCCATCTGCTGTTGGGTCTCTGTTCCTGCACTCCCTGGTTTCCTAATTTATCGTTTCCCCTAATGTGTTTCAGCTATGTGTCCTCACAGGTTTTGTCTCGTTAGTCACTGTATATAGTCTGTGTATCTGTGTTAGTCCTTTGTCCTGTCATTGTAAGCTGTCCACTGGTGATGTCCCGTCTACTCCATGTGATTTATGCAAGTCTTGCTGCACCATCAGCCTTTTTGAATTCTTGTTAATAAATACCTTATTTTATATATCTCCTGAGTCTGCTACTACCTGCCTGCACCATTGGGTTTACCTCCACCAGCCGTATTACAACAGTACAATTAAAGAGTTGCAGCGATTTGCAAAGACTGTGCAAGAATTTGGTAAACATAAACTAAACTTAAGCATTTCCTTAACATTTGTACTGTAATTTTTCCAGTAGTGGGCCGTCAGGGCCAGCAAGACCCTTCTCTGCTGCCCTAAACACTATCAAAATCACTGACTTACGCTTTAATACACTGTATATTTCTATAATTTAAAATGTATTAAGTGATTCCAAATTGTCTTCTCTTTATTTCATAGGCTTTCTCCTGATTGTGCAGCTTCTAGTAGCATATGTTTATATAGAGCTTTAATCCAGTCATATTTCAACCACCATGTGTTGCTAGGGTTAAAGACTGGAGACACCTTCAGAATCAATAGTGCAGGTGCCTGTAGCTTCAAATAAATGGCAATGAAACTTTTGCTTTAACCAAACGGATGAGTTGGTGACACCAGGGCCTTCTAGCATGCGTTCAACAACGTCAGCATTTTCACGCCATTTGATTGGATGGTCAGAGAACGAACTGGTCGGTGCTAGAAAACTGCATCTGTAGCGACCTGGACAAGCTAAACTACATTTATGCAGATTTTATAGCTGACCATCATAGTAATGGGAGATTTTTATTTACACTGGGTTAAGACCTAAAAAAATACCAGACAATATTTTTTTTTATTAAGTCCTGATTGGTCAAACCTTTGCAATGAATAAGAAATTACTTCCTTTTTTTCTGTTCATTTTCACGTATCTGTGCTCTCTGGGTAAAATATCAACGCTCCAAACAAACTCCATGTTGAATATTGTATGAAAATAGACACTCACTTGTAATGTCCTTCTAGAGATATTTGTACAATGCCTTCCTCCTCTGCAATTATACTGTGTTCCTCCTGTTGCATAGGAAGGAGAAAAAATTATGTTTAAAGAAATGTAAAATATTTATGATCCAGAACTGTGCTCTATTTCTGCACCTCTTGCGCTGCATCCTCTAGTTTCTTCTTCTTCCACTCGGGCATGAGATCATCCAGCCAGCTCAGTTCTCTCTTGGTGAAGATGAAATCCAGCAACTTTCTAATGAACACCAGAGCCAAGACCTGCAGAGGCAGTAAAAATCTGACAAGAAGGTTGCAAGGAGCGCACAACTTCGTATAAAACGCACACAGTGAGACTTAGGTTACCATCATGGGGAAAACAATGGCAGCCTTGGAGGTCTTGATGACCCAGAGCAAGACCAAGCAGCTGAGCTGGATGATGGTGAAGAGATGCACCTTCCTCAGTGGTACGTGACGAAGGTAGATGAAGTCCGGCTGATGTTTAGCCGGCATGCCGAACAGCCTCAACCGGTCAAAGAACTACATAAGATACGCAAAGAGCTCATCTAGGAGTCTTTCTGGATTCATGTTTGCAGTAACATACATATCAGCATGTGTGCACGCTCACCTGAATGCCTCTAAGTGAAGAAGCCCCCATGTACAGAAAAACACCATACAACACAGGCATGGGGATAAACTGAGGACAGAACAAACAAAGAAAAATTAGTTGATATGAACTACAGTAGTCTCTTGTTACATCGCGGTTCGATTTTCGCGGACTCGCTTTGTTGCGGTTTTTGGATGTCCAACTTATTATATATATATATGTAAATATAGCTTAGTGTTACGTTGCTGCAGGTTTTTATCAATGACGGGGGAGGGAGAGGGGGGAGACAGGACGGAATCACGTGTGTGTTGCCCGCCTGCTAGCTTAGCACTACGTTGCTGCTGGTTTTCATTGATGGGGGGAAGCTGAACGGAGCGTTATGTCAGTAGCATTTTTGCTAGTATGTTTGTATTGCGCCCCGCACTACATCAATACCAGCAGTTGACAATGGGGGGTGGGGGGTGTCCGGTAGGCAGGGTGCTCGGTTCTGTTGACAGGGTGGGGTGCCCCGCTTGTAAATATGTAGGGGAAACCCTGCTTTGTATAGTGTAGAGTGTTTAAATAGTATCTGTCATTGCTTCATTTTGGTTAAGTCAGAAAAATGCAGGTAAACAACAGCAGCTGAACAAGGTGTGTGTCTCGGACCTTCAACACTGAGGTCATAAAAACGGAGCATCCCATCAGCGTGAAGATCATGAGGCCGGTGAAGCGCTGCTCACGGATGCCCAGGAACTTTGGCTGCTCTCCAGGTGCCGAGCACTCAGACTCCAGCTTTAGGCTGTTCACGTGGGAGATGGAGAGCACGGTGGCCGCCACGAACCACGGCAGGCCCATCACCGAGCACACGCCCAACATCACCCCCACCACGAACAGGTCCAAGTGGTAACCACAGCCCTTCTGCAAGAACAAGGTGGTCAAAAATGTTAGCATCGATGTGCTATTCTACCGCTGCCACGCTAACACTGAAAAACTCAGAAATGTGGGTACTGAAGTACAGAAACCTGTAAGACTTTAATTTTTAGAAATAACCAATTAAAAGTTGACCCTCCAACAGCTGGAGTCAAAATGTACCTTTAGTTTGTGCTCCTTCCTGTTAATAATAACAGCTGTGATCTGCTGGTCCATGAAGATGAGGATGGTGCAGAGTAGGGCAGGGATGAAGGTGATGATGGTAGTCCACCAGGGGTTGGGTCCAACAGGATTTATCAACCAGCCCCGATCATCCCTAGTTGGCTTGAAAGAATAAAAATAACACTTTATTTAAAAAAAAGTGAAGTTGCAATACATTTAATATAATAAAAACAGAAAGTAGTTTTACTACAAAAACCAGACCAGCACTGGTGCACAGACTCACAAAAGAACTAGTTGGACTAGTATGACCCTTGAAATTTTCTTTTCTTTGAATGCTGTGTTTTACTCCCAAAACTTTCATGTGAACTTACTTTAAACTTGCTGGGAACTTGTAGTTTAGGTGAAGGGATTCCCATGGCATAATCTAAAAGCACCATAGTGAGGATGGTGATGAAAACTGCGAAGTCACTGATGATGGACCTCACCTGGAAGGAGAACAAAACACCCATTCTATAGACAAGAGTCCATGTTACATTTGAACACGGGAAACTCAAAAGTGTATCTTATTAGTATCAAACTTGGGCCAAAAGCAAGTTTTCTAGAAAATTCCTAAAGCTCCACAGATATAAAATCAAAATGAACAACTTTATGACCCAATAAGATCAACTGATGCCGATAAATGATGGAGTTATTACCGTTTTGGTCAAACTTGAAAAAAACAACAACATTGAAATCTTGTGCAAAATTGCAAGAACTCATGCTCAAAAGTGTGTCGTGAATGACTCTCAGCTACTACCACAGGCGCTGTAAGTTTTAGGCTTTGCTATATTTATACTTTTCAAAATATTTAAATTTATAAATATTTTCTGCAGAAAACTCATGATCTATTGTCTTCTAGTGGTACTTTTAGTTTTATGGAATGTTTTGCTACTTTTAGCTTTTACCTAGCTTTTTAACACATTTCAGAATTGGAATCAGAATAAACTTTATTGTCATTGCACCGAGATACAACGAGAATATTTCCGTACAGTCGTCCGAAAGATGGGCGGAGTGCACGAAGCTGCTGCTATAAGTGCGGCCTTCTATTCTTTTCAGAATACTTTTTTTAGGCCCTATTTACACGGAAACGATGGGGGGAAACGTAGGTTTTTTCGTGTGTTAATTAGAGGAAAAGATTTGCGTCAACACAGTCGCATTTTGGGTTTACATGCATCCGGAGGATTCCCCACCCCGCCCTCCCGAATCCGCTGTAGTTACCATGCCAGGTCATTAGGTGGCGCTGTGAATTTTGTACCTTCATCTAATGCGCATGCGTGCTGCCTCGGCACGTTGTTTTCCTCTGGGCTAATCAGCTAACAACAACGTAACGACAAGTTAAAGGTGGATTTTGGATGAGAGTCGACAGATTTGACACCAAGCGGGACTGCTTCGTCTAACAGCTCCACACCGGTCGCTGAGTGGACCAGTCACGCACAAACAAAGATCCCTTCACACCTTGTCCTAACAGGACATGATGCAAGACATAAAAACTCTGCCAGCAGCACATTTATGAACATGTTACATATGCATTTGATGACGAGGCGGTCCATGAAGCGCTAACAGATAGTCCATTGTCCTGATAAGATGAGATGATGGTCAGCCGGCACAGTTCTGATATGGGGGGGGTATACGAAGCTTTTCCTTAGTTTACACATTTCCCTGGAGAAGTTGATGTCGGCCTGTTCCGAGGCCAGCCGGGGAGTCATATTCAGTTAATCTATAATTGTTGATTTATTCAGGCAGACTATTTTTCCTTGTCGGCCTTGAGTCTTACTGGTATTTCCAAGGTCCGAAATGGCCAGATTAGGGTGCATTCTACTAGTCTGGGGTTATGAGTCTGAGCTTATGAGTCTCTTCATGGTCGTTTTCATGCTGAGGAGTCCCAAAGCCGCAAATCACTTCCATCTTATGATTTAGCTCGTAAATCAGCTGATTTTGAGTCCTCAAAGCATGAACCAAACTTTCACATAGAGAGCAGCCTGACGAGGGCCAAAATAGCTGCGGCCATCTTCTTTGTATGTTGATAAGCCAGGAACCAGATTACTCCAAAAACGAGTAACATGTTATCATAAATCCAATTATATGCAATTTCTGCGTCCTTGATCGACAACAGAGGTAGACACATCGCATTCCACTTCCCCAGAGATTTATCCAGTTGCATGCATGTCGTCCGAGCAGATGAGGGTTCTCCAGGACTCTGTCGCTTTGTTGAAAAGATTTTGTCATTTGCGTCTAAAGTCCAGTTGATCAGATCCAAAACAGTAGTTTTCATTTTGGAAGATGTGTAAAAATAGGAGCTGCTCCGATACACAGAGAGAGAGCAAAAAAGCAGGAGAACAGGAGAGGGAAGAAATGCGTGCGCCTCATTACAGAGCCAGTGGCTTTTAAACAGCCATTTGCTGCTTTTAGCTTCTAGCTGACCTTTTGATACTTTTAGCTAACATTTAGCTGCTTTTAAATAGGTCTTTGATAAGCTTTTAGCCTTTTGATGCTTTTAACTAGACATTTGCGTTTGACTTTTAGCTAACAAATTGAAATGCTAACTTTTAGCTACCCAGTTGGCTATTACCTAACGTTTTGCTGCTTTAAGCCAGTGTTTTGCCATTTTTAGCTTTAAATTAGCATTATAAGTTACATTTTAGCTAGCCTTTAATTTAGCTAGGCTTTTAATGCTTTTAGTTTTTAGCTAACCTTTTGCTGCTTTTAAAAAGCATGTTACTGCTTTTAGTTATTGGATAACTTTTTAAAAACATTTTTCAGTCAGGTCATCTAGACAGTTTATTTTTTTGTTTTGTTTGTGCTGAAAAATTTCACCTTCCATCCGAAAGGCTTCATCAGTCAAGGAAACACACAACACGTTTCAGCACAAAAAAAAAAAAAAGAAACTGTCCAGATGACCTGACTGAAAAATGTTGGTTTGTATACCTGGACTATTGAGCATGGACTTTGTTGAAATGCCATTTATTAGTAAAGTGCAGAGATAACGTAGTCTGACTCTAGTATCTGCAGTCAGACTGCAGAGTAATGTTTATCACCACAAGATGGCGGTCAGATGATGCAGTTTAGCCCACCAACATCACCCCACATTGTGCTCGTGATCAAACGGAAAACTGCACATGGAGAGAGACCACACGACTGCAGGGCTGCTTGTCCAGTGGAAACCACTAGATGGGAGCATGAGCTGAAGTAAAGCAGGTTCAGTGTCAGTCTCATTCAGAACCACATGGAGGAACCACATGGAGGACTGGAAAAACAAGCAAGTTTATCGTACTTTATATTTGATATATTATTTTTTTAATTAGTGTGAACAAGTGCAGGTGCAATGCTGTGTCCAAAACTAAGATGAATAAAAAAATAATAATAATTGCGCTTAAAAACAGCCATCTGCAATATCTATCTGTCTCTCTGTTCGTCAGTCTGTCTGTACATCTCTATCTATCTATCTATCTATCTATCTATCTATCTATCTATCTATCTATCTATCTATCTATCTATCTATCTATCTATCTATCTATCTATCTATCTATCTGTCTATCTGTCTATCTGTCTATCTGTCTGTCTGATTTATCTATCTATCTGATTTATCTGTCCATCCATCCATCCATCCATCCATCCATCCATCACCACTCTACAAGCGGGGCGCCTCGACCCATTAACAGAACCGAGCACCCCACCTACCGAACCAAACTGAACTGCATTCATCCCCCACTCCCCCCCAGCACTGGCAAAACGCTAAGGTAGCGGCGCGCAATACAATACAGGTGCGCTAGCTATAAATCTAAAGGCAGTCAGTGCTGCCTCTTCCCTCATGCTGAATGGCCCCACACGCGTGCTCGAAAACTGCCGGTACAAACAGCGTGCAGCTCAGATGCGTCTCTCTCCCTCCACACCCACCCTCGACAAAAATCACGGATAAGATGAGCGCCCCATCATGGCAAGTTATCTAGGGGAAACACTGCTGCCTGCCTGACAATTTATCAGTATGTTTGTCAGTCTGTCCTACCTACCTACTTGCCTGTCTTCCTATCTGTTTGTCTGTCTTGGGAGAAGAAAAAAAATTGGTGTTGCTGGTTATTTTTGGTGCGCCACACTAAAAACTATTTAATGGTGAAAATTACTGCAAATGGTGTGAAAATTACAGTGGTTGAGCACAGATTGTTCCTGCAACTAGATATTATTTTAGCTCAAGCTCATCTAAAATGGACTAAAGACAAAGCTTTCCTTTGATTTTAGAAATAGTGGACACTGTGTCCAGGAGAACAGGGATCCAAGAAAGCATGAAAATTATGTGGATATTTATGTAACCTTTAAATGCAATGGTCTGCGCAGTGTGGACAATGCAGAACTGTGTTTCCAAGCAGCTGGCATATCTTGTGATCACACATAGTTTTAATCAGTGGTTCTTCAGGCAGTCTGAAGGTCTTTCAAAGTTTTTTTTTGGATGTACTCCGGCTCCCTTAATACAATCTTTACACCTGACAAGACACGACTCTTTTGGACCATGTCAGGATCTTGCTAGGCTCTAGACGTTCATGCCATGCTACCACCACCAGTGTCATGTTTGCACTATGTTGTCTCCATGACCTTGACAAGTTGCACTGGTGAGCTTTTGCCTCAAGCCATGAATGCACAGTTACTATCTTTGAGATGTAATATCACAACAAACAAGACAGGAAGCAAGAAGTTGAAGAAGTCTGATAGCAGAGGCAACAGGTCCAGGAGGGAAACCCAGAGGCAACCCTCTCTCAAGTGATGGTCTCTGGCTCCTAGTTGGGGATTCCCAGGGCAGAAAGGACGTATAATCCCTCTAGCAAGTTCTGGGTCTTCCCTTCACACTCTTTGAATGAGGTGTTATGCCACAACTGGATAATATTAGGTATATTGGGTCTTGTTCACAGGGGAGGGAAGGGGAGAATATGATATTAACAAGTGAATCGGAGAAGCTGATTATTTGCAGGTGATCAAATAATAAGCTCTCGATTTACTAGTTGAGCTACGTTCCAACCCTTACTCATAATCATGAGCTTTAGGTAGTCACCAAAAAAACAAGACTGTGCATACTGGCAGCCAAAATGAATTTCTTCTGCTCGTTTGGTGCTTCTCCCTCTTTTTGTTTGTTTTAACCGGGGCTCCCAGTTTGCTGTTTTTGTTCAGGTGATTTGTGATTCAAGCTTTGGTCTGAATTGCTATCGTCTGGGCTTCATATGTTGTGCGACCTGCCACTTACTCCTGGACTTATCACGACCATAACATATTTGGGGGCTTGGCCGGTCCAAAAATGTTACCATAACATTTATTGCGACTCGTTTGGTTCAGAAGATGTTGGATAACATGTTTGGGTGCTCACTTAATCCATAGCATATTTAAGGGCCTGTCCTGTCTTATTGTGGCCTTGTTGTGGAGAACACATTGGGCTCTCCCAGGAGGAGTTGGTGAAAGTGGCTGAAGAGAGGATGGTCTGAGCATTCTTGCTAAGGCTACTTCCCCCACAACTTGGATAAGCAAAAGAAGATGACAACAAAGTTGTGGCCCTGGATTGCCTCCTAGTGGTACATGCCCAGAAAACCTCTAGAGGGAGGAATCCTGTTTAGTTGCTCAAACCATCACAGCTGACCCCTTCCAGGGCAGAGGAGCAACAGCTCTTCTCTGATCTCCTCCTGGATGATGGAGCTTGTCATCTTAGAAGTATATTTCAGCCACTTGTATCTGGGATCTTGTTCTGCCAGTTATGATCCAAACCTTGTGACTATAGGTGAGGGTTGGAACATGAATGAATCACTAAATCAAGAGTTTTGCCTTTCAGCTCAGCTCTTTTTTCACCATGACAGACTGGAGCAACACCTTCAGTACTGCAAACAGAAAATAAAGAAGGCAAAGTCCCTTATAAGACAGAATGATGCAACTTCCCCTTGAGGACAAACTTACAGGGAACAACAGATTTCCCAATGAGCTGTCAGCCAAAAAGTGGATCAGTTCAGGCATGAATGCTACGTTCTTTCTCATCGTCTACTTGTCCAACTGGTCTACTTGTTCAAAATTGTCAGAATTCAGAACTTGTCTGAAAATAGGCAGCAACCAATGTCCAAAGAATCATTTTGAAGGCCCCTTTGGAAGGTTGGAGAACCGTTGATTTAAGTTGGCTTTAAAGACGTTAAGAATGTTTGACTCATTGGAAGCTAAATTTAGAGAAATAAAAAGTTCTTGGCAGTGCTGTACATAATCAAACCATTAAGTACTTTATCCAGTTGGACATATGACTGTCATAGCAGTTTGCGTTACATTACTTTTATTGGGCCAGATCAGCATCCTGGACCATTTGAAAGCCAATGTGAGTTGATGTATATAATTGTAGCATGAATGTATCAACTTTTACTGCTTGCTCTTTAGAGTCTAACTATCAATCCAATGTGTCAACAGAAAAGAAACACAATAAAAGTGTCTTCATCACAATCCTGTATCTGCTTTAACCCATTATTGACTTGATTTTGCAGTTTTGTTTTACACACGTGTGGAGTTTTTTTTTTGTAGTTCTTTAACATACCTTGGTGGGGAAGTAGCGACTCGTCTTGAACTCTTTGAGGAAAGCGGACATGAATACGGTGGTGAAGAAAAGCACCACACACCAGAAGAGGACATCAGGGATATAGGGTCCGTGAGGGCCACAAGCCGTCCCCTCAAACTCCCCGTGCAACATCTCGCACTCCTACTGGCCCCAGAGCACACGGTGATGATGGTGATGAGAGGATAGGGATAGGGGACATATTGGTGATGATGAACACATTATTTCTGAATTAGTAGACAATCAGTTACTATCTATATGGATCATAATTTATTAGCATTCAAAGTTACAGTATGTTTTCACAAGTTTTTTTTTTATCTTTAAAATTCTACCCACATTTTTTTTATTCTGATGCTTCTTGCAAATATAGTATCAGGATCTTTATAAACATTTTCTTTGGTGGTTAAGCTTGCTTTCTTGGTTGGTGGTTTCTGACCATCTTCAGCTATGTAAAATGTTGAAATATGTCTAGCTACAAATTCAACAACCATATATACTCTTATTTTAAAAGAGAATTTACAAGTGTATCTACCTAAATATTACGGCTTTCTTTACCTTGACCTCCAGCATGGTCCAGTTGACCTGCGAGGCTGTAATGTTTCTCTCCTCCCACAAGTGCAGAGTCTCATTGCTTGGGTTCCTGGGCTCTACACATGAACACCTATGAGGAAGAAAATATGATTTTTTTTGTTATTCCAAAATAAAAAAAGGAAATATACAAAAATATATAAATCATAAGCATTAAATGCTGTTGAATCAAATATGACACGTGACATTATTAGCAGTCTACAGACCATCTCGGGATGGCATGCTTAGAAACATCAGGCAGTTGATGATACCAAGGTGAGTCAACCAGTGTATAAACAATAACTAAATAACAAGACTAAAACTCATCTTGTGATGGATTTAAAACCCTTTTGTTAAAGCAAAAGTTTAACTCTTTGAATGACCTGGGTTTGGTTGAACAGATTAGCTCTGACAGGACTGATGAGATAACAGCTGATCCTAGTAGACCAAAGTGGATTTGCTGCAGTCTTAAAACAACTTAATTCTCAAATACTTCATAGCATCCATCCATCCATCCATCCATCCATCCATCCATCCATCCATCCAT